TGGGATTACAGGCGTGAGCCACTGTGCCTGGCCAAGACTAAATGCTATAATTACATCTTTCTACCACCTTCTTATGGAGACACCTCTTAGGATACAGCCTACTTCATTGCAACCAGTCAATAAACCCAACTTTATTTAACTATATGTGTTCCTGGTGTTTTTTTTTTTTTTTTTTTTTTTTTTTTGGGGCCGGGTCTTTCTGTTGCCCCGGGTGGGGTGCAGTGGCCGGATCTCAGCTCACTGCAAGCTCCGCCTCCCGGGTTTACGCCATTCTCCTGCCTCAGCCTCCCGAGTAGCTGGGACTACAGGCGCCGCCACCACGCCTGGCTAGTTTTTTTTTGTATTTTTTAGTAGAGATGGGGTTTCACCGTGTTAGCCAGGATGGTCTCGATCTCCTGACCTCGTGATCCGCCCGTCTCGGCCTCCCAAAGTGCTGGGATTACAGGCTTGAGCCACCGCGCCCGGCCGTTCCTGGTGTTTTTTGACTGGAAGGCAATGACTCGGATCATGCTGTTTCATCTCTATGTTTTTCTCACATTTGTTTGAAAACCCCTTCTATGCTGTGCATTCAGATTACCTTCATCTCAGATCTATTATCAGTCGATCTAGTTCCAAGCAACCCAAATCACTGCTGTACAAAATTATTGCCTGAGATTAGTGGTTGTCTAGAGTATTGGAGGACAGGAGGAGGTGAGGGAGACATGGGGAGTGACTGCTACTGGTTACAGGGTTTCTTTTTGGAGTTATGAAAATGTTCTAAATGTTAGCGATAGTTTCTCAACTCTGTGAATATACTAAAAAGCCATTGAATTGTACACTTTAAATGGGTGAATTTTATGGGATGTAAATTAAATCTCAGTAAAGCTACTTAAAAAAAAAAAAAAGTGTGGGCTGCCAGCTGTCAGGAAGTGAGCATCCAGAAGCTAGATGTGTCTCAGCGCCCAGTTGCATTTGCTGCATTGGCATCATTTGCTACAGGCATGAGGTTCGGTACAGGCGGTTGTGTGAGCTCTGAGGCATGGACCACTGGACAGACTGACAGATGATGGTGGACTCCCACAGGCTCTGCCAATCATGGAGTCGCTGCCATGGAGCCCAACTCTGTCGGTGTTCTGGCCATGACTTTCAAGATTTTTTTCCTTTTTGCAGGGTTTATGGTTAATGTTCCTGTGGGGTTAAATTTTTCCTATAGATTACTTCTCCGAAGTCTGATGTTAATGTCCCCTGAAGACAGTGTCTTTTAGCGACCATTATTGCAGTGGTCAGGCTTCACCTGGTGTTGGTAATTTATGTCTTCATAGTGTGAAAGGAAGGCTTGCCTCAGTGGTGGGAAAACAAAACTGAATAGAACAGGTTTTCCTTTGGAGCGGCAAATGGGGGGGGTAGGCTAGTACCTAAAGGGTTTTTCTTTTTGTCTCTTGTTCACATTAAATGTGATTTACCTCCCACCCCCTGAAAGGTGGATGGGGAGGACAATTAAGTATTTACTGCAGCTAAGATTTTAGAAAAAATGAGGGTGGGGAGGGTGACATTTTTCAATCATCTGTTAAGTGCCAAGTGCTTTTTGTTAATGATATATTTTTGACTGAGGATCATGTTTGACTGATGTAATTTTTTTTTTTTGAGACAGAGTCTCACTCTGCTGCCCAGGCTGGAGTGCAGTGGTGCAATCTCGGCTCACTGCAACCTCGGCCTCCCGGGTTCAAGTGATTCTCCTGCCTCAGCCTCCCGAGTAGCTGGGACTACAGGTGCATGCTACCATGCCCGGCGAATTTTTTTTTTTTTGTATTTTTTAGTAGAGACAGGGTTTTGCCATGTTGGCCAGGGTGGTCTACAACTCCCGACCTCAGGTGATCTGCCTGCCTCAGCCTCCGAAAGTGCTGGGATTACAGGCGTGAGCTACGGTTCCTGGCCTCGCTGATATAAATATTAATGCCAAAATTGGAAGCTAAGATGAAAGTGACACTAATTAGTAGCAGTATAATTTATTTCATATTAAAATGTATTGTGGTGTGATTTTGTTGTTGTTGTTGTTGAGACAGAATCTTGCTCTGTTGCCCAGGCTGGAGTGCAGTGGTGTGATCTTGGCTCACTGCAACCTCCACCTCCCAGGTTCAAGTGATTCTTCTGCCTCAGCCTCCCAAGTAGCTGGGACTACAGGCATGCACTGCCATGCCCGGATAATTTTTTTTTTTTTTTTTTTTTGAGATGGAGTCTCGCTCAGTCACAGCTGGAGTGCTGTGGCGCAGTCTTGGCTCACTGCAAGCTCCACCTCCTGGGTTCACGCCATTCTCCTGCCTCAGCCTCCCAAGTAGCTGGGACTACAGGCGCCCGCTGCCACGCCTGGCTAATTTTTTGCATTTTCAGTAGAGACGGGGTTTCACTGTGTTAGCCAGGATGGTCTCGATCTCCTGACCTCGTGATCCGCCTGCCTTGGCCTCCCAAAGTGCTGGGATTACAGGCGTGAGCCACTGTGTCCGGCCTGTTTTTTTTTTTTTTTTTTTTTTTTAAATAGAGACGGGGTTTCACCATATTGGCCAGGCTGGTCTCGAACTCCTGACCTCATGATTCCCCTACCTTGGGCTCCCAAAGTGCTGGGATTACAGGCGTGAGCCACCACACCCACCCTGTGTTGTAATTTTTACGGCTTGGCTAGAGCAACAGTTTTCAGGGTGCATCTCCTTGGTTTTACTCACAGAGATGTGATGTGCTGTTGCTGCTTTCTAACTCTGCCTACTTTGTGGTCTCTTAAGACGATGAAGTTGATAAAGCAAACCAATATCGGTGACTAAGTCTAGAAGACCTAGAAAACATAGTAATAGGTCCTGAACCTATTGCTCTTGCAATTGCACTACAGACATAAAGAAGCAAGTGGTTATTTCCACACACTGAGAGCTATAATTTGCAGTCCAGTAGATGATGAAAAAAATACCCCTTGGTGCATTGCAGAGATGCTATAAATCACCCAGTAAGCCATGGGATTGGTTGTACCTGTAATTGAGAAGAAAACTTGAAAGGAAGAGCAATAAAACTCACAAGGACATCATTGGTATCAGATCTCAAAACCACGGCTCTTTGGTTGAGGGAAACAATGTTTTAATGAGTAAATGTTCATCTCCAAACCAAAAAGTGAAAGACCATATTCCACAATGTAAATATTGGCAACCTATGAAAGCTAGTAAATTTTACAAGACTTCAAATGAAAGTTAATTTTTCTTTTTTTCTTTTTCTTTGTCTTTTTTTTTTTTTTTAAGACGCAGCTATCAGAGACTATGTCTATGTCTTAGCAGGCTAGCCAGAAAGGAAGTCAAATGACCAATCAAGTTTTTAATGAAGAAATCGAATCAGGCCAGGTGCAGTGGCTCACGCTTGTCATCCCAGCAATTTGAGAGGCTAAGGCTGGGGGATCACCTGAGGTTAGGAGTTTGAGACCAGCCTGATCAACATGGTGAAACCCCTTCTCTACTAAAAATACAAAAATTAGCTGGGCATGGTGGCCCATGCCTGTAGTCCCAGCTACTTGGGAGGCTGAGGCAGAAGAATTGCTTGAACCCAGGAGGTGGAGGTTGCCGTGTGCCGAGATTGGGCCACTGCCCTCCAGCCTGGGTAACAGACCGAGACTCCATCTCAAAAAACAAACAAACAAACAAGCTATTTTATTTTTGACGGCTTAACCATTCCCTATGTCTTCATGGTTAATTGAAGGTTACTGACAGTAGACCAAAAAAATGTATTCTCATTTGACTCTAATTTTTCCCATATTCTACTTGAACAAAATTTAAAATATTCTGCTGCCTATACACCCCCAAATCTAGGAGTATTAAGACTAGTCAGTCATAAAGTAAACCTGATACGTCAGATGAATGCCAGCACCTATTCAATTTCTTTTTGCTCTATTTTCAGAAATGTCAGAATAAATATGTATCGGCTACTGGAAATTCTAGAAGGAAGTCTTCAAGTTTTAATTTTTTTCCAGTGGGGGGCATGCCTCAACATCTTGCATAGACTGTCAGAACTATTAAAAATTTAGGCTGGGCAAGGTGGCTCATGCCTGTAATCCAAAGCACTTTGGGAGGCTGAGGTGGGTGGATTGCTTGAGCCCAGGAGTTCGAGATCACCCTGGGTAACGTGGAGAAACCCTGTTGCTGCGAAAACTACAAAAATTTAGCCAGGCGTGGTGGTGCGCACCTGTAGTCTCAGCTACTCGTGAGGCTGAGGCAGGAGAATCGCTTATACCCAAGAGGCGGAGGTTACAGTGAGCCGAGATCGCACTACTGCACTCCAACCTGGGATACAGAGTGAGACCCTGTCTCAAGAAAAGAAAAGAAAACTGTGCTAAAACTGGTTTTATGAGGATAACCGTGACCACATAAACCAAGAGCCTCCTCTGTAACCCACACAATAAGAAAGTTTCACAGCATATTCCAACAAATATCAGTTTGGTGCCTTTAGAGTCTTACTCTGTTGCAGTGATTATCAGCTGAAAATTATGTCTGTTGTAACTTTGGTAAGCATTCCACTTTGGTTATTTATTAGTGGTATTATTTTTTTAAGGGTCAAGTGTCAAATCTTGGGACGATTAAAATACCATGATAAGTAAAAAAGAAATATGTTCTGAGAACTGGTACCTCTCCACGACATAAGTGCAGAAATTGAGAGTAAGAGTTTGCATACTTTCAAAGCTACTCGGCAGAGTTATTTCGTATACGCTAAAAAAAAATAAGAAAAATCTGTACGTGTCTTTTCCATGTTTACATTTTAAAATTTCATTTTCCTAAGTATATTTTTGTGTATATTATAAAAGTATTAGGCCTCCAAGGACTAGGAGAAAAACCTCAGATAGTAGAGAATAGCCTAAACGACCTATATCTTCAACAGTTTAAACCATCTGCGCTAGAGCCTCCCTCAATGAGGAACTACAATGCCCAGAATTCCCCCCAAAATTCGTGAGCGACGTCCATTTCACCCACCTCGCCGCGACGCCCTCTGGGATATGTAGTGCTTGACTTCCGCAGTGCACGCTGCGCCAGCAGGACATTTTTTCCTGGTTTGGGGGCAAGGTCTCATGGGAAAGGTCATGTCTCTCGAGGAAAGGTTATAAACCCTTTGATATGAGGGTTGGGCGAGAAACAGAGCCTGTTGCGTTCCGTGTTGGGACCGGGAATAACCCTGACTTCTGAGCCTTCATAACCCCAGGATACTCCAGAAAATTTGCGGCGAGCTGAGGGAAAACCTTGCTGGCAAGTCGGGACAGTGTCGCAGCGGCTGTTTTTCTTTTCCCACCCAGCACGTTTTCGGGCTGGCGACAGAGGGTTCGGTGGAGATACAGAGGCTCCCTTAGGGATATTGGGTTCTCCGAAGTGCGGATGGACTAGGGCTGGGCTGAGACCACATTCTTTCAGTCATTCAGCTCTCCTGTATGCCCGGCGCAGAGGATACCCCTTATGGTCCCAAGGCCCCTCCTGTAGTTAAGTTCCTTCCTTAAAAAGTCATTCAGCTGGGGCGAAACTGGGGACTCGACACCTTTCTATGCTAACCTTTGAGCTGCCTCCACTTTGAGCAGCTCAGTGGATGGATATAGTATCTTGAGAAAACCTTTGATTTGTGCAGGGATTTCTTATGCGGGTGTGTGCAGGTCAGCTTAGGTCAGGATGATGTACTGCTTGCCACAAAATAGCCTGTGCTGTCGCGTCGTTTTTTTCTTGTGAACAGACTGTTTGGCATAGCCGTGGAGAGGAGTCTGAGACATGCTTTTAGTGATACAGTGTTGATTTGTTGGTGTAATGAGGCCGTTCAAGTGGAAAGAACTGGGTTGTAGTCCCTGCTTCACTAGTACTAGCACAATTTTTTAAACCTTTTTGAACCTGCTTTTCCTTATCTGTAAAATGGAAATAATATCGACCTGGAAGATTTGCTGAGGGAATTTAATGAGATAATGTGTTTCAAACGTTCTTTGTAAATGGTAACATGTTGCAGAAGTATGAGTTTATATGACTTTAGTCCCCGCTTTTCTAAGCATTACTTCTCAATTATAAATGTAAGCATTTATAGCATATTTAAAAAACAAATTATTCTTTTTCATAATTATCTTTAGTTCTTTTATTGTTTCAGCATGACTTGAAACATTACTTAATTTCTTAGTGTTTCTTGATTAGTGCTTTAATTGTCTCGTTTATTGGTTTAACTATCCAAGGCCAGTAATGATTAACTTGCATGACTTATTTATTTATTTATTTATTTACTTCAGGAAGGAATTATTTGAGCTCTTTAAGGGCACAAGAAAAAGGAGCAAGAAATTATCCTGAAAGCAAATAAACCAGAGACCATACTTCTTTTTTTTTTTTTTGAGACGGAGTGGAGTCTCGCTCTGTTGCCCAGGCTGGAGTGCAGCGGTGCGATCTCACTGCAAGCTCCGCCTCCCGAGTTCACGCCATTCTCCTGCTTCAGCCTCCTGAGTAGCTGGGGCTACAGGCGCCCGCCACCACGCCCGGCTAATTTTTTGTATTTTTAGTAGAGACGGGGTTTCACCGTGTTAGCCAGGATGAACCAGAGACCATACTTCTGAAAAATGTAAAAAAAAAAAAAAAAAAGGCTCTGCATTAAGGCATACACTTTTAAGACACTTTAAAGGTGATTATTTATTTTAAACAATTTTCCTCTTTTTCGAAAAGACAGCTCTGAGTTTGTGGGCTTTTTTTTTTCCTTTAATGGTAAATTTGAAAACTGTGTAAATGTCAGATTTAAAACACTTTTAAAATGGAGTGCAGAAAGAAGCGCCTTTTTCTGGACATTTATTTTTGGATCAAATTCTGCTGTCTGGTTTAGACTAAGAAAAAGTCTTTAGTTAATGCAGAAAAAATGTATTACTTTAATTTGAATTTTGAAATCATTTTGATGTTAATGATGTAAGCATAACCATGTTAAACCAATTCTTTTATAGAAGCTGTATATTGGAATGGGTTTACAGTCATCGTAATGGAAGCAAAATACATGAAGGAAAAACAGTTCTTTGTATCCCTGCTTATTGCACCTGACGACTAGTTGCAGATGGTTTTGTTTACCTAAGAAAACTTGTGATGTAAATGAAAAAAACACCTGTTTTCCTAGACTCATTGGTTACAGATATGCTTCGTCTAAGAGCTATTTGTCCATTCTCCTGGAGAGTATTTCAATTTCGACCCCTCAGTTGTGAACCACTGATTATTCAGATGAATAAGTGTACAGATGAGGAGCAAATATTTGATTTTATTGAAAGAAACAAAGCCATACTTTCAGAAACGCAAGTGGGATGTGCGTTTGATATGCTTTGGAAGCTTCAAAAGCAGAAGACCAGCCTGTTAAAAAATGTTGAGGATGTCAGAGACCATCCTCAATTTCTTACTCTTCATAATTTAGCTACAAATAAATTCAAATTAATGAATGACGATACCCTGGTGAATGTGTTACACATCACACAACGGTAAGTAATTTACTTTTATATTTTATGGAAATGATTATTTAGTTTATATTTTAGTTTTCTAAAAATCTCTTTATTTTTATTTTATTTATTTATTTTTTTTGAGGAGTCTGTGTCGCCCAGGCTGGAGTACAGTGGCAAGATCTCAGCTCACTGCAAGCTCCACCTCCCAGGTTCACGTCATTCTCCTGCCTCAGCTTTCTGAGTCGCTGGGACTACAGGCGCCTGCCACCACGCCAGGCTAATTTTTTGTATTTTTAGTAGAGATAGGGTTTCACCATGTGTTAGCCAGGATGGTCTCGATCTCCCGACCTCGCGATCCGCACGCCTCAGCCTCCCAATGTGCTGGGATTACAGGCGTGAGCCACCATGCCTGGCCTAAAATTCTCTTTAAAATGAAAGATAACTTTTTCCCCACTAGTTTTCCTGATAATCTAATTTTTTTTTTTTTTTTTTTTTGAGACGGGGTCTCTCTCTGTCGCCAGACTGGAGTGCAGTGGCGCTGTCTTGGCGCACTGCAAGTTCCGCCTCCCGGGTTCAAGGGATTCTCCTTTAACAACTGTAATACTATTGTTAACTTTGGGCATTTGAAATTGGATTACTGTGGAATTTTGTAAAAATGTGGTTGGCTGCAGAAGAGAATATAGTAGGTAAGCAGTTGTATTTAAGATTAATGCCGGTTGGGTGTGATGGCTCATGCTTGTAATCCCAGCACTTTGGGAGGCTGAGGTGGGTGGATCACCTGAGGTTAGGAGTTCAAGACCACCCTGGCCAACATGGTGAAACCCCGTCTCTACTAAAAATACAAAAATTAGCCGGGCGTGTTGGCGGGCGTCTGTTATCCCAGCTACTTGGGAGGCTGAGGCAGGGGAATCTCTTGAATCCAGGCGGTAGAGGTTGCAGTGAGCCGAGATCACCCTACCACACTCCAGTATGGGCAACAGATCAAGACTCTGTCTCCAAAAAAAAAATAATAATAATAATTAATGCCTAATAACAATCAGTAATTAGTAAATTGTGTCTGTGATAACTTGTTTGCCATCTGGTTCTTGTAATTAAATGGATGGCAGATATGTTTTCTAGGGGGTATTGTTACAATAGGTTGTTTCTCAATAATAGCTCTTAAAAAAAGGAAAAAAATTAAATGATTTTGTAGGCCGGGCGCGGTGGCTCAAGCCTGTAATCCCAGCACTTTGGGAGGCCGAGACGGGCAGATCACGAGATCAGGAGATCGAGACCATCCTAGCTAACAAGGTGAAACCCCGTCTCTACTAAAAAAATACAAAAAACTAGCCGGGCGAGGTGGCGGGCGCCTGTAGTCCCAGCTACACGGGAGGCTGAGGCAGGAGAATGGCGTGAACCCGGGAGGCGGAGCTTGCAGTGAGCTGCTACACTCCAGCCTGGGTGACAGTGAGACTCCGTCTCAAAAAAAAAAAAAAAAAAGATTTTGTAGAGTCATTTATATTTGATAACAAAGTTGTACGAATTTTATGTGGATGACTGAATAGGTGTTACGTAAAAAAGGGCTTCCTTGGTGTCGAAGGAAAAACTCAGAGATAAATGTTAATAAATATTATATTCCAATTTTGGAATTTGTGAAGAAAAAACAAATGAAGAGAGCAAAGTAAAAAGGAAAAAATAAAATAAAAAGAAATGTGTTCTTTGCAAGGAAATCCAGCCTTCAAAAGAACTGGGTTCCCTGAATGAAGGCTTCAGCAGTTGTACAAGGGGGAAAAACACAAAAAAGTTACACCTAATCTGTTTATTAGTCTCACTGGTGAAAAAGAGCAGTTTTCTCACATGATGACCCAACCTTCAAGGGTTATTTAAATGGGTGTAAATATCAGCATTACGTAAGTTAGAGATGTGTAAGTTGGTTTTGTAAGAAAATTAGCATTTATAGGAAAGGGGCTTAAGGCTTATATTGGGGATTGATGTTAAACTAAAAAAGGATGATTCCATATTTTTTGGTGGTCTTTCTCAGGTTACAAAGTTGTTTTCTCTGAGGTACTTGAAGGGGATGCTTGAAGTTTTATGAATAAGGTGATTGGTGACTATTAGCTTTTTTTTTTTTTTTTTTAACAAACATTTTCTTTTTTTCTTTCTTTTTTTTTTTTTTTTTGAGATGGAGTCTCGCTCTGTTGCACAGGCTGGAGTGCAGTGGCCAGATCTCAGCTCACTGCAAGCTCCGCCTCCCAGGTTTACCCCATTCTCGTGCCTCAGCCTCCGGAGTAGCTGGGACTGCAAGTGCCCACCACTGCACCCGGCTAATTTGTTGTATTTTTTAGTAGATTCGGGGTTTCACCGTGTTAGCCAGGATGGTCTCGATCTCCTGACCTCGTGATCCGCCCGTCTCGGCCTCCCACAAACATTTTCTTATAAAAATATTTTATTTATTTATGTATGAGACGGAGTCTCCCTCTGTCACTGAGATTGGAGTGCAGTGGTGCAGTCTTGGCTTACTGCAACCTCTACCTCCAGAGTTCAAGCAATTCTCTTGCCTTATCCTCCTGAGTAGCTGGGATTCCAGGCACATGTCACCACGCCCAGCTAATTTTTGTATTTTTAGTAGAGACGGGGTTTCACCATGTTGCCCAGGCTGGTCTCGAACTCCTGACCTTAAGTGATCCACCCGCCTCGGCCTCCTAAAGTGCTGGGATTACAGGTGTGAGCCACCATGCCTGGCCAAAAATATTTAAATCAGAACAAAGACATATTATATGTACTTTTAACATAAATATATTGTTGAACATTATCATTGGTCAGTCGTATGGGTATTGAAATGAGCAGATAAAAGGGTGAGAGGGCATGGGATAAAGTATAGATGTTTATTAGGCTGTACCAAAAAATCAGAATACTGAAATAAGAGTGGACCAGAAATAAGGACTGCCTATATAAAAGGAAAATAACTTGAGTTTCACTTTTGCATTATAATTCTTATTGCATATGTTTTGAATGATTTTAAAATGATTATGTATGGAGGATTCTTTCTTTCTTTTTTATTAAGGTTTGCTGGTGAGTCCCACGACCCACTAGTTGAAGCACTAGTTACAGAAGCATGGAGAAGGTTAGAAAGGCAAGTACCCCTGGGTTCATCTTGAGGGTCAGGGTTATCCTTTTAAGGGTTAACAGAGTGAAATCTTGAAGGAAAGAGCAGGGAGCTGATGCCTGTCAAGCTTCATTGAAAAAAATGTATTTAAACTCAGTTTCGTTGTAAAGTTTTTGATTGTGTATTTTTTTGGCGGGTAGGGGGGTGCGGGGGGGAACAGAGTCTCACTCTATCACCCAGACTGGAGTGCCACGGGATGGTCTCGGCTCACTGCAACCTCTGCCACCTGGGTTCAAGCAATTCTCTGCCTCAGCCTCCTGAGTAGCTGGGATTATAGGCACCCGCCAGCACGCCGGGCTAATTTTTTGTATTTTTAGTAGAGATGGGGTTTCACCATCTTGGCCAGACTGGTCTTGAACTCCTTACCTCGTGATCCATCCGTCTCAGCCTCCCAAAGTGCTGGGATTACAGGCGTGAACCACCGCTCCTGGCCATGTCTTTTCTTTTTTCTTTCTTTTTTTTTCCTCTCTTTTTCTCTCTCTCTCCTTTTTTTTTTTTTTTTTTTTTTTAAGAGACAGGGTCTTGGCATGTTGCCCAGGCTGGTCTTGAACTCTTCGGCTCAAGCAATCCTTCCTTCTTGGCCTCACAAAGTGCTGGGGTTATATGCATGAGCCACCATGCCTGGCTGTGTATTCTTTAAGAGAGAAAAGAAAGTATTTCATATTTTCCCTCTTTAAAAGTGGGGAATAGTATACTTTTCCACGCATGTATAATTAGTTGAAATATAAATAAGATAGAGTCACAGCTATTCATGAACTAGCCTTTTTGAATCTTCTTTTCTAGAAGATTACTTCAGAAAGGAAAGATTCTTGATTAATTGGCTATCAATAAAAACCTAGAAGTGCAGGAGCCAGGAAAGGAGAAAAAAGGAGACCCTAGTTTAGTAGAGAGGAAGGCCATTTAACACTGTTTAGGAGCATCTGTCGCTACTTGCCTGTTACTCCATTTTTATGGAGAGGCAATGACCAGAGCTTATAGGTGACTTAGAAGCTTTTTAAAGAAAGTGAGTTTCAGGTCCACTGCTGTGGACAGTATTAATTCAGATATATTTCCTATACTATACACAGCTCTATTTTTAGCATGTTGCCATACTTGATAATACTTCAGAAAAATGGGAAATCTTGTGAGTATAGAGAAATTTATTCTCTAATTATATATCAGAAGTTCTTTATTTATAAAAGGGCTGAGATAATAGCAGACTCATTTTGGGAAATCTTCATCTATTTCTGAAAACTTTGAATTTTTTAATCTCGAAATTCCGGATGATTGTAGTCTGTTGTTAGTGGAATAAGGCACATGTTAGGGAGGAAAGAAAAAAATCAGGGTGAGGAAGAGATAGGAGGATATTAAAAACTACAGAGCAACTCTCCCTCTAAATCAAACCTCTAAATCAAATAGAAACCAGACAGGAAAGACTTGGCTAAGATGGAGTAGAAACAGCAGGCTATTTGTAGACAGAGAGGAGTGACCTTTCTGATTTTTAAAATATTTTTAACATATTGCCTCTTAAAGTTTAAACTATGATAAATACTTATAGACATATACTGGTAAACTCTGTAGGCCTTTATTACATGGACTGGATTAAATTAAGGGATAGAACAGTTCTCCGGATTTAGAAATTCTGTATTAATCTACTAAGTTGTGATTTTAAGTTAATCGTATTAGCTAAACCCATCTGTCTTTTATACTCTCTACCTATAACTACATTGAGGGTAAGCAGAGTAATCTTACTCCTTTTGCTAACAGTATGAATTATCTATCTATTGGATCTTTGGGGTTAAATTTGGTCATTGTTGATAATAGGTCACAACATTTTATTTCTCTTCAAAGCAACAATATATTATGTGTATTATGTAGCTTGAACAAATCACTTGTAAAATAGGTGGTCTTTTGTGTTTTACAATTACTGTATTAATTAAATTACATGTATGATTGTATTTTATAGTGAATCAAGCATTTCTTTTAAATTTTTCTTTATTTCAAAATAACTCAGAAGTACAATGATCTTGCTAAAATATCTATGAACTTATGTTTTATAAACATAATTTTTTTTTTTTTTTTTGAGACAGAGCCTTGCTCTGTCGCCCAGGCTGGAGTGCAGTGGCGTGATCTTGGCTCACTGCAAGCTCTGCCTTCTGGGTTCAAGTGATTCTCCTGCCTCAGCCTCCCGAGTAGCTGGGACTACAGGCGCCTGCCAACACACCCAGCTAATTTTTGTATTTTTAGTAGACACAGGGTTTCACCATATTGGCCAGGCTAGTCTCAAACTCCTGACCTTGTGATCTGCCCGCCTCAGCCTCCCAAAGTGCTGGGATTATAGGCGTGAGCCACTGCGCCTGGCCCATTTTATGAATATAATTTTTAATGATTTAAATGGGGTACATTATTTTGGGTTACTACTATATGATGAAGTCGACAAGGATAATTAACATGTGTTTGAAATCCATATATATTTTTTTCTTTTGAGATAGGGTCTGGCTCTGTTACCCAGGCTGGAGTACAGTGGTGCAACCAGGGCTCACTGCAGCCTCAAACTTCCCGGCTCAAGCCATCCTCCTATCTCAGCCTCCCAAGTTTCTGGGACCACAGGTGCATGCCACCACGCCCAGCTAATTTTTATATTTTTAGTAGAGATGCGGTTTTGCCATGTTGCCAGGTTGGTCTTGAACTCCTGGGCTCAAGCAATCCTCCCACTTTGGCCTCCCAAGAAATCCAAATTTTTTAAAAAATTTTTTATTATAGAATATTTTTAATATTTACAAAAGGAGAAAGGGTAGTACAATGAATTCCCATGTATCCATCCTCCAGCTTCAACAATTGTCAGCATATAGCCTGTCTTGTTTTATCTGTATCACCTCCCACTCTCAGTATACTTCAGTATATTTTAAATAATGGTATCATTTCATCTTTAAATACCTCAGTATGTTTCTCTAAGGACTTTTAAAAAATATAGAACCAGCTGGGCATGGTGGCACATGCTTGTAGTTTCAGCTACTTAGAAGGCTGAGGTGGCACAGCAAAGGATATAATCAACAAAGTGAAGCGAGAGTACACAGAAGGGTAGAAAATATTGGCAAACTACCCATCTGACAAGGGATTAATAACCAGAATATATAAGGAGCTCAAACAACTCTATAGGAAAAAGTCTAATAATCCGATCAAAAAATGGGCAAAAGATTTGAGTAGAGATTTCTCAAAAGAAGATGTTCAAATGGCAAACAGGCATATGAAAAGGTGCTCAACATCAGAAAAATGCAATCAAAACTACAGTGAGACATCATCCCACCACAGTTAAAATGGCTTATATTCAAAAGACATGCCATAACAAATGCTGGCGAGGATGTGGTGAAAAGGGAACCCTGTACACTGTTTTTGGAAATGTAAGTTAGTATAAGCACTATGGAGAACAGTTTGGAGGTTCCCCCAAAAACTAAAAATTGAGCTAGCATGTGATCCAGTAATCCCACTGGTGGGTATATACCCAAAAGAAAGGAAATCAGTATATTAAAGAGATATCTGCACTCTTATGTTTATTGCAGCACTGTATACAATAGCTAAGATTTGGAAGCAACGTAAGTGTCCATCAAGAGATGAATGGACAAAGAAAATGTGGTGGCTGGTGGCTCACACTTGTAATCCCAGCACTTTGGGAGGCTGAGGCGGGTGGATCACGAGGTCAGGAGATCGAGGCCATCCTGGCTAACAAGGTGAAACCGCGTATCTACTAAAAATACAAAAAATTAGCCAGGCATGGTGGTGGGCACCTGTAGTCCCAGCTACTTGGGAGGCTGAGGCAGGAGAATGGCGTGAAGCCCGGAGGGGGAGCTTGCAGTGAGCCAAGATCGCGCCACTGCACTCCAGCCTGGGCGACAGAGCGAGACTCCGTCTCAAAAAAAAAAAAAAAAAGAAAATGTGGTACATATACACAATGGAGTAATATTCAGCCATAAAAAAAAAATGAGATCCTGTCATTTGCAACAACATGGGTGGAACTGTAGATTATTATGTTAAGTGAAATAAGCCAGGCGCAGAAAGATAAACATTGCATGCTCTCACTCATTTGTGGGAGCTAAAAATCAAAACAATTGAAGTTATGGATGTAGAGAGCAGAAGGATGGTTACCAGAGGCTGGGAAGGGTAATTGATGATTGTGGGGGATGGTTAATGGGTAAAAAAAAATGGAATGAATAAGACCTACTATTTGACAGCACAACAGGGTGAGTATCGTCAATAACTTAATTGTACTTTTTTTTTTTTAAGATGGAGTCTCGCTCTGTTGCCCAGGCTGGAGTGCAGTGGCGTGATCTCAGCTCACTGCAACCTCCGCCTCCCGGGTTCAAGCAATTCTCCTGCCTCAGCCTCCTGAGTAGCTGGGATTACAGGCGCCTGCCACCACATCCACCTAATTTTTGTATTTTTAGTAGAGATGGGGTTTTACCATGCTGGTCAGGCTGGTCTCGAACTCCTGACCTCACGATCCACTCTCCTCGGCCTCCCAAAGTGCTGGGATTACAGGCGTGAGCCACTGTGCCCCTGACCTCGTGATCCACCCACCTTGGCCTCTCAAAGTGATGGGATTACAGGTGTGAGCCACTGTGCCCAGCCCCTTAATTGTACATTTTAAAGTAGTTTAGAATGTAATTGGATTGTTTGTAACTCAAAGGATAAATGCCTGAGGGAATGGATACTCCATTCTTCATGATGTGTTTATTTTGTATTGCATGCTTCTATCAAAATATCTCATGTACCCCATAAATATATATACCTACTATGTACCCATAAAATTTTTTTTTTTAAATTTTAATAAAAATGCTGAGGTTAGAGGATCACTTGAGCCTAGATGTTCAAGTCCAGCCTGGGCAACACAGTGAGACACTGTGTCTTAAAAACATAATAAAATTGATAAATTTAAATTTTCAGTATTACCTAGTACCTTGTCTTGAAGGGGTGGCCTACCCCTCCACACCTGTGGATGTTTCTCGTTAGGTGGAACGAGAGACTTGAGAAAAGAAATGAGACACAGAGACAAAGTATAGAGAAAGAAAAAGTGGGCCCAGGGGACCGCTGCTCAGCATACAGAAGACCCACACTGGCACCGGTCTCTGAATTCCCTTAGTATTTATTGATAATTATCTTTACCATCTTAAAGATAAGGGAGTGGCAGGACAATAGGATCATTGTAGGGAGAAAATTAGCAGTAAGACATATGGATAAAGATCTCTGCGACATGAATAAGTTCAAAGCAAAATGCTGTGCCTTGATATGCATATGCAAACATCTCCATAAACCATTTAGCAGCATTGTGCCAGCAAGTCCTACCTTTTGCCCTAAGGCGGTTTTCCTATCTCAGTAAACAAAGCATACAATCGGGTTTTACACCGAGATGTTCCATTGCCCAGGGATGGACAGGAGATGCTTTTCTTTTCTTTTCTTTTTTTTTTAAGACGGAGTCTCGCTCTGTCACCCAGGCTGGAGTGCAGTGGCTGGATCTCAGCTCACTGCAAGCTCTGCCTCCCGGGTTCAAGCCATTCTCCTGCCTCAGCCTCCTGAGTAGCTGGGATTACAGGTGCTGCCACCACGCCAGGCTAATTTTTTGAATTTTTAGTAGAGACGGAGTTTCACTATGTTTGCCAGGCTGGTCTAGAACTCTTGACTTCGTGATCCGCCCACCTCGACCTCCCAAAGTGCTGGGATTACAGGCTTGAGCCACCGCGCCCGGCCACTTTTCTTTATCTTAACTGCCAACATCCACCAAAAGCCTTTCTTTCATCTTGTACTAGTCCTCCTCAGCACAGACCCTTCACGGGTGTCCGGCTGGGGGACGATCAGGTCTTTCTCTTCCCACGAGGCCATATTTCAGACTATCACATGGGGAGAAACCTTGGACAATACCTAGCTTTCCTAGGCAGAGGTCCCTGCGACCTTTGGCGGTGTAAGTGTCCCTGGATACTTGAGATTAAGAGAATGGTGATGACTTTTAACCAGCAAGCTGCCTTCAGGCATTTGTTTAACAAAGCACATCTTGCACAGCCGAAAATCCATTAAGCCTTCAGTCACCACAGCACATGTCTCGTGCAAGGACGAGGTTGGGGGTAGGGTCACAGATTAACAGCATCTCAAATACAGAACAAAATGGAGTCTCTTATGTCTACTTCTTTCTATATAAACACAGTAATGGTCTGATCTTTCCTTCTTTTCCCCACATTGTCTGCGTTCAAATTTTCTTGATTGTCTTATAAAGGTCTTTTTATAGGCAGTTTGTTTAAATCAGTTTCTGAGTAAGGTTCACAATTACCGTGCCTCAAGGTTTTTTCTGTTTCTTTTTAAGTAAACTTTACAGAAAAATAATGTATAAAAATTACACTAATCATAAGCATGTAGCACAATGAATTTTAATATACTGATCACTTCCACGTAACAGCACCAAGATCAGGAAACAACGTCGTTAGTTCTTTTCATGTCCTCTTCTATTCCTCTCACCCAAAGAGGATCTTGACCTCTAACACCGTAAATTAAGGTTTCTATAGAAATGAAATCCTATAATATATACCCTTATAGTTTAGTTTGCTCAGTATGTTTTAAAGATTTATCCATTATGTTTTATGATTCCATAATTTTATTCTATTGTATGAGTATGTGCAGTTTATCCATTGTACTCTTGATGGACATTTGGTTTTTTTGCAGGTTTTTGCTATTACATATGTGTTGCTGTAAACTTTCTTGTGCTTGTTTTTTGGTGAATTCAAAGTCATAAAATCTATAACAGTTCCTTTTTCCTCTCTTTTGTCTTGTCATTTTCTTGTGTAAGAAATTTCTCCTATTAAAAAAATTCTGGAGTTTTTCATAGCACTGTTGTAATAGCAGCTATTATATTTCTTAATATGTAATCTTGAGTCAAAATTGTTCTGTCATCTAAAAAAATTAAGTAAATAATTCAAATAATTTGTAGTGATTTTCCCCGTTTTAAAATGTTTCTACAGTATCTGACTTTTTAACTGTTTCCATTTGTTACTTTTATAATAATAATAAACATTTTAGAAAAAAATAATTTTATGTAATATGTTACTATTTTGATTGCTTTTAGTTTTATAACTATGTATTATGTGTTTTAAGTGAAAGTAAATACTAATGTTCTCCTTTGTATGTTTCCTTTAATAGGTTTGACATTAAACTGCTCTCAGAATTTTCCTCTTGCCTAGCAGATCAGCGTTTGTATTTTAGTCCATTAATGGGAAAAATAGCTGATATTGTTCATAGGAACTTGGAAACCACACAGGACTTAAGGTAAATTTATTTGGGGAATCTTGTGTTGTGGTGGAAAGATCCTGGGCTTTGGATGTGGATGCAGTCAGATTTGCTACTCTTAGTTTATGTGACTTAAGGGTAATTTACTTAAGCTCTTGGAATTTCGTTATCCTCATCTGCAAAAGAGGGAATGTAATAGCTACTTTGCAATGTTGCTATGGGGATTAGACATAAGGTGCATAAAGTGTAATACAATATTGTTGAGGTTTGTGGAGGATCTGAGATTTTACCTTATTTGCAGGCTAAGTTTGTCTTCCTAGGTGCTGTAGGAAGGCCTGAGACTCCGAGGTCAGAGACAGGGGACTTTGTTTTTTATAGCAATAGCAGTAGCAGAGGACTAGCATTTTCTTGTGTTGATTCCCTGAGCTCTCGTTCCCACAATGGGTTGTGTTCCAGGAGAGGAGCTCTGAGCTTAGAAAACCTGAATCTTTTATAATAAAGCATGCTTACTCTGCTCCAACAGAAGACATTGTCTCTATTCTCCTGGGCTGTTTGCTACACAAACATCCTTGAAAAGATAGTTCTGAACAAAGGCAGTCAGAAACCCACTGAAAATGGTCTCTGAATAAGTATCTAGAACATAGAAGTTTCTCAGTATTGGATAGTAGATATTATTATTATATCATAAAGTAAACCCAAGAAGTACTTAAATTAAGTATGAATTCACTGGCCAGGCGTGGTGGCTCACACCTGTAATCCCAGCACTTTGGGAGGCCCAGGTGGGTGGATCACTTGATGTCAGGAGTTCGAGACCAGCCTGGCCAACATGGCGAAAACCCCATCTCTACAAAAAATAAGAAAATTAGCTGGGCATGGTGGCAGGCACCTGTAATCCCAGCTACTCAGGAGACTGAGGCACAAGAATTGTTTGAACCTGGGAGGGGAGGTGGAGGTTGCAGTGAGCTGAGATTTTGCCACTGCACTGCAGCCTGGGCAACAGAGCAAGACGGTTTCAAAACACCACCACCACCACCAAAAAAAAAAAGCAAAAAAAAACGCAATAAAAAATTTAATAATTTATAATAAATTAATAAATTCACAAATTTTACATATAATTATGTCTTTCTTATTCTTTCCATCTGGGAATACTTTCTTTTCAGTTTCATAAAGGAGAGTTAATAATTGCATTTCCTGAATATCAAGGAACTATTAATTTGAAAGTAACATTTGAGAAGTTTCTCTGGTTTTCATACCAGTGGTTTGTGGGTTTGTTTTGTTTTTAACCTAAGATTACTTACTGTCAATGCTCACCTTCATAATCCAGTACTGATTGTCTTTGGCATTTCAGATACAGCTTTTTCTACCATATTTACAAAGTGATTAGCACTTTGATAAAATTAAATTATAGTAACTTCCTGCTTTCCTTGCCCCACTCCACCCTACCTCCCTGCATTTTTTTTTTTTTTTTTTTCTATTGAGATGGATTCTCCCTCTGTTGCCCTGACTGGAGTGCAATGATGCAACCTCTGCCTTCTGGGTTCAAGCGATTTTCCTGCCTCAGCCTCCCGAGTAGCTGGGATTACAGGCACCTGCCACCACACCTAGCTAATTTTTGTGTTTTTAGTGGAGATGGGGTTTCACCATGTTGGCCAGGCTGGTCTCAAACTCCTGACCACAAGTGATCCACCCACTTTGGCCTCCCAAAGTTCTGGGATTATAGGCATGAGTTACCATGCCCAGCCCCCTGCCTTTTTTTTTTTTTTTTTTTTTTTTAATAAGTGATTCCACCCACTTTGCCTCCCTGTAAAGTTCTTTGGGGATTATAGGCATGAGTTACCATGCCCAGCTCCCCTGCCGCCTTTTTTTTTTTTTTTTTTTTTTTTAATACACTTATGTGGCTGGGTGTGATGGCTCAAGCCTGTAATCCCAGCACTTTGGGAGGCCAAGGCGAGTGGATCACCTGAGGTCAGGAGTTAGAGACCAGCCTGGCCAACATGGTGAAACCCCATCTCCACTAAAACTACAAAAATTAGCTAGGCATGGTGGTGAGTGCCTGTAATCCCAGCTACTCGGGAGGCTGAGGCAGGAGAATCACTTAAACCCAGGAGGCAGAAGTTTCAGTAAGCCAAAATCATGCCATTGCACTCTAGCCTGGGTGACAAGAGCAAGACTCTGTCTAAAAAAAAAAAACATATATGTGTGTGTGTGTGTGTGTGTGTGTGTGTGTGTGTGTGTGTGTATATGTGCTACCCCCTGGCTATCCAAGTTTCTCACCTGAAGGTTGTTTTATTTTTTCAATCACAAACATTTTTTGATTTAAGCTACTTCTGGATACACACTAATTATGCAGGAAGATTACTATTTTTTTAAATTGAGGCTTAATTTATTAATATGTGAAATTACAAATCTTAAAGGTACAGTTCCATCAGTTGTGTCAAATATATACTTACATTAAGATAGGGAAATAGTTCCATCACCTAAGAAAGTTTCCTCATATTCCTTCTCAGTCAGTCCTATCCCCCTACCATGTCAGCAACTAGTGTTCTAATTTCTTTTTTTTTTTTTTAATCTTTTTTTGAGATGGAGTCTTGTTCTGGTGTCCAGGTTGGAATGCAGTGGTTCAATCTTGACTCACTGCAACCTCCGCCTCCTGGGTTCAAGCGATTCTCCTGCCTCAGCCTCTCAAGTAGCTGGGACTACAGGTGTGTGCCACCATGCCCGGCTAATTTTGTTTTTTTTGAGACGGAGTTTTGTTCTTGTCACCCAGGCTGGAGTGCAGTGGCATGATGTCGGCTTACTGCAGTCTCCACCTAGCGGATTCAAGTGATTCCCTAGCCTCAGCCTCCCGAGTAGCTGGGATTATAGGCGTGTGCCACCATGCCCGGATAATTTTTGTATTATTGGTAGAAACCAGGTTTCACCATGTTGGCCAGGCTGTTCTTGAACTCCTGACATCAGGTGATCTGCCTGCCTCAGTCTCCCAAAGTGCTGGGATTACAGGTGTGAGCCACCACCCGGCCCAATGTTCTAATTTCTATCACCCTACCCAAGTTCTGCCCATTCCAGAACTTCATTTAATAGGATCATACAGTTTACACTATTTTCTGTCTAGCTTCTTTTACTTAGCATTATGTTTTAAGATTTATCCATGTTGTTGCATGTATCAGTAGTTTATTTACTTTTATTACTGAGTAGTGTCCCATTGCATAAATATACCACAGTTTATTTATCTGTTGGTGGACTTGTGGGCTGTTTCTCATTTTTGATTATTGTGAATAAAACTGCAGTGAATATCCTAATACAAATCTTTTTGTAGAGATACATATTTATTTCTTTTGCGTAGCTACCTAGGAATGGAATTGCTGGGTCCTAGGATATATGTATGATTTTAAGAACTTGCCACATAATTTTCCCAGTAGTCATAATATTTTGCATTCCTACCATCAATATATGAGTTTTAGTTGCTACATAGTCTGGCCAACATTTACATTGTCAGTCTTAGCCATTATACTGGGTGTGTAGTGGCATTTCATTGTGGTTTTAGTGTGCGATTTCCTGTTAATGATGTTGAACATTTTTTCATGTGCTTATGGCCATTTGTATATCTTTCTTTCATGAAACATTTGTTTAAGTCTTTTGCTCTTTTTTTTTGAGACAGAGTTGCCCTCTGTTGCCCAGGCTGGAGTGCCGTGACGTGATCTCGGCTCATTGCAACCTCTGCCTCCTGGATTCAAGAGATTCTCCTGCCTCAGCCTCCCCAGTAGCTGGGATTACAGACACCCACCACCATGCCCAGCTAATTTTATGTATTTTTTAGTAGAGACAGTGTTTCACCATGTTGGCCAGACTGGTCTTGAACTCCTGACCTCAGGTGATCCACCTGCCTTGGCCTCCCAAAATGCTGGGATTACAGGTGTGAGCCACCACGCCCAGCCATCTTTTGCTCCTTTTAAACAATTGTGGGGCTGGGTGATGTGGCTCATGCCTATAATCCCAGCACTTTAGGAGGCCGAGACAGGAGCATCACCGGCAGCCAGGAGTTCAAAACCAAGCTGGGCAACGTAGTGAAGACTCTGTCTCTACAAAACACAAAAAATTAGGAGGGCATGGTGGTGCATGCCTGTAGTCCTAGCTACTTGGGAGCTGAGGCAGGAGGATTGATTGAGCCTGGGAGATCAAGGCTGCAGTGAGCCGTGATCATACCACTGTACTTCAGCCTAGGTGACACAATGATACGCTGTCTCAAAAAAAAAAAAAAAAAAATCATGGTATAGTAATTATTTTAGCTTGTTGTTTAAAAACTCTTATAGACCACTTTGAGAAGCTACATGTTAAAAAAAAAATCATTTTGGGCTGGGTGTGGTGGCTTATGCCTGTAATTGCAGCACTTTGGGAGGCTGAGGCGGGCAGATCATGAGGTCAGGAGTTCGAGACCATCCTGGCCAACATGGTGAAACCTCATCTCTACTAAAAATACAAAAATTAGTTGTGCGTGGTGGCATGTGCCTGTAATCCCAGCTACTCAGGAGGCTGAGGCAAAAGTATTGATTGAACCAGGGAGTCGGAGTTTGCAGTTAGCCAAGATTACGCCACCGCACTCCAGTGTGGTGACAGTGTGAGACTTCATATAAAAAAAAAAAAATCATTTTGGGGGATTGATGGTTAAATTAAAGAGCAATGTTAGGTTAATAATTAATGCTAATTAATCTTGATATTAAACATTGTAACTGGAGAAGCCAAAGTATTGTACAACTGGAGATTTTTAAAAATATTAATTAACTTTATTAAAAAGATTAGAGAAATTTGGAAACAAAAAATAGCATGTCTCACTATCCTAATGGGTAAGATTATTTTCTATTGTATTTTTGTCTTTTTTGTAGATTGTTTTCTAATTATCATCCCTAAATATTTATCTTATATCTTTTCTGTTTTGCATACTTTTCATTAAAGGTGTATTCTTATAGTTTTCTGATTTTTATATTATGTAAGAACAGTCTTTTGAAAATAGGGACCACAACTTAGTAATTTTGATGTCTTCCACAGTGTCTAGAAAGGTGATTTATGCTCAAGTGCTTATTGAGTGAAGAAATGTTGAATGCCATCCCATGTTCAGTACTGTCTTGCTGTTGTATATTAATATCAATTAAGCATAAAGTATTTAAAAATATGAAATTATTCACTAGTGAGAAAAATTTTGCCAAGTTTTTATTAGCAAATTATAGACACACAGAGAAAGGAATAATAAAAAATGTCTACTTCTAAAAAAATGAAATGAAACTTTTAATGTTGCATTCATGGGTTGTTGGTCTAAAGTGATTTCTTTTTTTTTTTTTTTGAAACGGAGTCTCGCTCTGTCGCCCAGACAGGAGTGCAGTAGCACGATCTCCGCTCACTGCAACCTCTGCGTCTCGGGTTCAAGCGATTCTTCTGCCTCAGCCTCCCGAGTAGCTGGGACTACAGGCGCCCGCCACCATGCCTGGTTAATTTTTTGTAGTTTTTAGTAGAGACAGGGTGTCACCATGTTAGCCAGGATGGTCTCGATCTCCTGGCCTCATGATCCACCCACCTCAGCCTCCCAAAGTGCTAGGATTACAGGCGTGAGCCACCGTGCCTGGCCTGGTCCAAAGTGATTTCTGAATAAGTTTCACTAAAATATTTTCCACCGAAGTAGTTTTTGCTATAAAACAAGGCATTTGATGCTCTCAATGAAAAATATTACTCCCATGCCTTTTGTCTGAAAGGATTTGATTACTAAGAAATCTGAATTCAAGTCCCACTAGTATTTAAAAGGAAAATTTTATGGCATAAAACTCATAATTTTCTTACCACTTCCTTTCCATATCTAATTGTTTAGTTTTAGAGTTGATTATTCTTGGCTGGGTGCAGTGGCTCATGCCTGTAATCCTAGCACTTTGGGAGGCTGAGGTGGGAGGATTGCTTAAGCCCAGGAGTTTGAGACCAACCCTGGCAACATAGCAAGACTCTGTTTCTACTTAAAAAAAAAAGATCATTTTTGATTGATGTAAAAATCTTTGCATCTGTTTTCTTTTTCAGTTCCTTGTCTGTCTTGATGGTCAACATATCTTCTTTAATATCACGACATTTTCAACAACAACTGGTGAACAAAACAGAACTTCTTTTTGACACCATAGATTCTTCTGAGGTCAACGTTGCAACAAGAATAACACGGTTTCTTCGAAATATTAAATATTGTTATCAACCATTATTAGAAAAGTGTAATAACGTGTTTTTAAGTAACGTGGACCAACTTGATTTGGATTCCATCAGTAAAATACTTAGTCTATACAAGTTTCTACAGTTTAATAGTTTTGAATTTATTATGATGGCTAAAAAGAAGCTAACTGAAATGATTCCTCTGTGTAATCATCCTGCTAGCTTTGTAAAATTGTTTGTAACATTGGGACCCATTGCAGGACCTGAAGAAAAGAAACAGTAAGTTCAGTTTAAAATGCATTACTTTTTTTGTTGTGAATATGTGGAGCCTTCAAGCTTACGTCTCCTTGCAGCTCTGGGAGGTACAAATATCACCCCCTTAGGTTGTGGAAGGGAAAATAATCTCTTATGCTCTGCTCCTTGATTCTTTTTCTGATTATTCTAATTTACATCTCAAACTCTTAGTCTATTGCTGTGTTCTGAAAGGTAAACCTCTGATACTGGGCCAACATGAAAAAAAATGAGGGGAAACGCCATGTGTTTTTATTCTCCTTTTCTATGCTACGTGACTTGGATTTACACACATGACTCCCCCACCCAGTTTAAGTCTGTGGAATATTTAGAATTATAGTAGTCATAGCAGAGTACCATTTTATGCTTTGTTGTCTTCATCACAATAGTCATCAAAGCATTTATTATGCACTCGGCATATGTCCCCATGTCAGGTTTGAGCAAATTTTATGTGGCGCCTCTCATTTAGGAATTTCCAGTTTTGCTAGATATTGATGTAGGTAGTAATATTTGAAATATAATGATGAACAAATATTAAATTAACATACAAGTATGGTTAATAGATAAGATTCTCTCTTCGTAGGCCATGTGACTGGATTTATACTAGACATAAAATTCCCCCACCCAGCATAATTGTATGAATTATTTAGAATTACAAGCTGGGCACATTGTTGCACACCTTTAATCCCATCACTTTGGGAGGCTGAGGCAGGTGGATCCCTGGATCCCAGGAATTTGAGACCAGCCCAGGCAAGATGGTGAAACCTTGTCTGTACAAAAAAATACAAAATTAGCCGGATGTGGCAGTGCGCACCTACAGTCACAGCTACTCGTGAGGATCACCTGAGCCCAAGGAGGCTGAGGCTGCAGTGAACTGAGATCACTCCATTGAATTCCAGTCTGGGCACAGAATGAAACCTTGTCTCAAGCTGGGCGCGGTGGCTCAAGCCTGTAATCCCAGCACTTTGGGAGGCTGAGACGGGCGGATCACGAGGTCAGGAGATCGAGACCATCCTGGCTAACACAGTGAAACCCCATCTCTACTAAAAAATACAGAAAAAGTAGCCGGGCGAGGTGGCGGGCGCCTGTAGTCCCAGCTACTCGGGAGGCTGAGGCTGGAGAATGGCATGAACCCGGGAGGTAGAGCTTGCAGTGAGCTGAGATCCAGCCACTGCACTCCAGCCTGGGCAACAGAGCGAGACTCCGTCTCAAAAAAAAAAAAAAAGAAACCTTGTCTCAAAAAAAAAAAAGAAAGAATTTTATATAATAATCCTAACACATAAGTATGATTAGTAGATTTACTTAAGCAGGGGTTCCAAGAGTTGCATACTAGGGGAATCATTACTCTGTTAGGAAAAACTTTATGGAGAAAGTTTTATTTTTTAAGAGTACTTTGTGACTGAGTGCAGTGAGTGGATCACGCCTGTAATCCCAGCACTTGTGGGAGGCTGAGGCAGGTGAATCACCTGAGGTGGGGAGTTTGAGATCACCCTGACCAACATGGAGGAACCCAGTCTCTACTAAAAATACAAGATTAGCTGGGCGTGATGGCGGGCACCTGTAGTCCCAGCTACTCGGGAGGCTGAGGCAGGAGAATCACTTGAACTTGGGAGGCGGAGGTTGCAGTGAGCTAAGATCGCGCCATTACACTCCAGCCTGGGCAACAAGAGTGGAACTCTGACTCAAAAAAAAAAAAAGAGTACTTTGAATTATATGAAAAAATTTAAGAGCACATCTTAAGACTATATCAAGATGGAAACAAGGTGATTATTAAAAACTATTGGGGCCCAGCATGGTGTCTCACACCTGTAATCCCAGCACTTTGGGAGGCCAGTGACGGCAGATCACTTGAGGTCAGGAGTTTGCGACCAGCCTGGCCAACATGGTGAAACTCTGACTCTACTAAAAATATGAAAAAAAAAGGGCTAGACATGGTGGCTCACGCCTGTTATCCCAGCCCCTTGGGAGGCTGAGGCAGTTGGATCACTTGAGTCCAGGAGTTTGAGACCAGCCTGGCCAACACGGTGAAAACCTGTTTCTACTAAAAATACAAAAAATTAGCCGGGCGTGGTGGTGGGCACTTGTAATCTCAGCTACTTGGGAGGCTGAGACAGAAGAATTGCTCGAACCTGGGAGGCTGAGGTTGCAGTGAGCCAAGATTGCGCTATTGCACTCCAGCCTGAGCAACAAGAGCGAAACTCCATCTCAAAAAACAAACAAACAAAATACAAAAAATAATTAGCCGGGAGTGATGGCAGGTGCAATGGCAGGCATCTGTAATCCCAACTTCTTGGGAGGCTGAGGCAGGAGAACCGCTTGGACCTGGGAGGCGGAGGTTGCAGAGAGCTGAGATCATGCCCCTGCTCTCTAGCCTGGGCAACAGAGTGAGACTCCATCTCAAAACAAACAAAGAAACACACATACAAACAAACTTTATTGGAACCATTTTTTGTCATCAAGTACTATTAAAATCTCAGTGCTAAAGCAGTACAAAAGTTGGATTTAACTGAGTCTCTGTCTTCAAGGAATTTACATTGCAATTGAGAGGATAGATATAATTGAAATATGTAAATACCGTAACAACATAGTTTATGAGAAAACAATAAAATTAGTGATATGGATAGTGCTGTGAGCAGACAGAAGTGAGAAAAATATAGACTGAAGTGGTTGGGAAAAATTTGTGGAGAAACTGGTTTTGAAATGTTTGAAAAGGTTGGTGGAAAGGATGGCATGGAGTTATCCAGTGTGTATAGGCAATTAGTTTATCCTATCCTCAGATGTCACGTTTTGAGCTTGCTTTCTAAATGATTCTAAAAGGCACATGTATCATGATACTTAACATTACTACACTACTTTGGGTAGTTCAACTGACAACTAATCATAGTCAAAATGGATCAGCTTTGTTAATTTTCAGTTTATACTGTTATATCAAGTGCTTAGTATATGAGATTTCTGATACTATGCAGGTTTATTGACTCCTAGATGATTCCTATTCAGTTTTAAAACATTTGGGAAATTGTCAGAATATCAGTTGTTCATTTCTTAGCTCTCTAGTATTGAATAATTTCACTGAATCATAGTATTTTATAACCATTATAACCTTGTATTATTTGAAAATCTTAAAAGATCTTTACTTTTATTTTTCAAACAGTTTAAGATTGGATTATACTGAGGCCTGAATTTCGTTGAAGAAGACAATATATTTTTCTTTATTCAGTACTATTTTATATTCGAGTAATGTGGGGAGAATACTGGGGTTATATATTGGATTCAGTTTTTGTTTATATTCTTTTTTTTCCTATTTGTTACTCAAGAACTGTTATTTAAAAAAAAAAAAATTGCAAGCTAATTTTCAGTTTTTCTTTTTTTTTTTTTTTTTTGGAGACGGAGTCTTGCTCTGTCGCCCAGGCTGGAGTGTGCAGTGGCCGGATCTCAGCTCATTGCAAGCTCCGCCTCCTGGGTTTTACGCCATTCTCCTGCCTCAGCCTCCTGAGCAGCTGGGACTACAGGCGCCCGCCACCTCGCCCGGCTAGTTTTTTGTACTTTTTAGTAGACATGGAGTTTCACCGTGTTAGCCAGGATGGTCTCAATCTCCTGACCTCGTGATCCGCCCGTCTCGGCCTCCCAAAGCGCTGGGATTACAGGCGTGAGCCACCGCACCCGGCCCAGTTTTTCAACCAAAAACTTTTTTTTTTTTTTTGCTTCTAGACTTAAATCAACTTTGTTATTGATGTCAGAGGACCTAACTGGTGAGCAAGCCCTGGCAGTGTTGAGAGCAATGGAAGATATGGAAAGCAGAAATTCACATCTGATTAAAAGGTATCTTTCTGAAATTTATGATGTTAAGTTTGTTATTCATAAGCACCTATTTTTTTCTGAGGAAAAATGGTTTTCTTTAATCTACCTGTTGTTTTGAAGAAATAAGGAATTAACACTTAAGGCACTGTTTATGTTCTACTTTGTTTTTCTTTTTCTTTTTCTTTTTTTTGAGACAGAGTCTCACTGTGTTCCCTAGGCTGGAGTGCTGTGGCACTCTCTCTGCTCACTACAACCTCCACCTCCCTGGTTCAAGCGATTCTCCTGCCTCAGCCTGCTGAGTAACTGGGACTACAGGTACCCACCACCATGCCCAGCTAATTTTATTTATTTATTTTTGAGACAGAGTCTTGCTCTGTCACCCAGGCTTAAGTGCAGTGGTGCCATATCGGCTCACTGCCACCTCTGCCCCAGGTTCAAGCAGTTCACCTATCTCAGCCTCCCAAGTAGCCAGGATTATAGGCGTCTGCCACCACACCTGGCTAAGTTTTGTATTTTTAGTAGAAGCGGGGTTTCACCATGTTGGCCAGGTTGGTCTCAAGCACCTGACCTCAAGTGATCCACCCACCTCAACCTCCCAAAGTGCTGGGATTACAGGGGTGAGAGCCACCGCACCCAGCCCTCCATGCTGGTATAGAGCTCCTGCCCTCAAGTGATCTACTTACTTCGGCATCCCAAAGTGCTGAGCCACAGTGCCTGGCCTTTTTTTTTTTTTTTTTTTTTTTTTTTTTGAGACAGGGTATGGCTCTGTTGCCGAGGCTAGAGTGCAGTGGTGCCATCACAACTCACTGCACCCTTCACCTCCCAGGCTCAATTGATCCTCCCATCTCAGCCTCCTGAGTAGCTGGGACTACAGTCACGCGTCGCCATGCCCTGCTAATTTTTGTATTTTTTGTAGAGATGGTGTTTTGCCATGTTACCCAGGCTGGTCTCCAGCTCCTGGGCTTGAGGAATTCATCTGCCTCAGCCTCCCAGAGTGTGGTTTGTTTTTCAAAGTAGAAATGACAATTGTTTGTAGCATTTTTCATTTTATTTGTGCTATTACACTCGAGCAGAGCATCATAACCTTGTAAAATAGAGACCATAAAAACCCTCCTTTTATTTTTTTCTTTTCTTACTTTTCTTTCTTTCTTATTTTTAAAATTTTCTGTAGAGATAGGGTCTTACTATTTTGCCCAGTCTGGTCTTGAACTCCTGGGCTCAAGCAATTCTCCCAAAATTACCAAGTCTGTAATTTTCAAAAGGAATGTTTCTGCAGCACAGTCAATTCTATATGAACATGGATTGTCTCATACCACAATGTTACCTTGAAATCATACTGCCATTTGTTGGCTTTTCGGTAACTTGAGATTTCAGAAGAAAAAATATATACTTATATTTTTATGTGTGCTTAATTGTATATGCTTAATTTTTCGTGACCTATTATATGTTCCTTTATTTTAATATTTCTTATGTCCCATTTTTTTCCAACTTACTGCCTTTTAGAATTTCCCTTTGCTTTTAAGCATCTTCATTTGAGGGCCAGTGGATTTAAGGAAGAAAATTAAATTAGTCTTGCTAATTATTGGTAACTCTTGGTAAAGATTTTGTTATGGGGAGGATGTGGAATTTGATCCTCTGTGAAATTGAGGAAGACAAACTATGCTTTTCTCTTCTCATACTATTGATAATTGAATATTATTTCATTCACACTTGATTCATCGCTTTTACTTCATTCTGTTTTAGTTTGTTTACATTTCTAGAGCCATCTTGAGACATTTCTTCAGGAATAGAAAATCTCGTCTCATTCATTGCTATTTCTCCAGCACACAGCAGAGTGTCTGGCGTGAAAGCGCCACAGTAAATGTGTAATGAATGAATGAACTGGTTATAATATATGCTCTATCAATCCTTTTTAGAGTTACTTCAGTTCTGCATAAACATTTGGATAGCTATAAACCATTAGAGTTGTTGAAGATAACTCAAGCACTGCCTTTTCTGCATTTCCAAAGGAAGGAGTTTTCTGCAAAACTTAGAGAATTACTGCTTAGGTAAGATTAAAATAGAAATTTTGCTTAGTATTTCATTTTCTAGCCACAATATTTGTTTTGTTTAACTGTGTACAGTGGTGCTAGAAGTTATGGAGGCAAAATAGTGAAGCTTATTAGTAAAAATGTTAAGACACTTTATCTCCCTCGCAGCCATTCTGCCAATGCTCATGCTGAGTATATTTTGAAATGGAAATGAGGCCAGCAGGGTGATGAGTTCCCTAGGAGAGGAATGGCAGTAAATTGATGAATAGCAAAGCCATTCTCCTTTCCTGCAAAATGGAGCCACCATGAAGAGATTGGGACTGCTGACAAAAGTTCAACTCCCTTTGGGAGCATTCATATTTAGGGCCTTTCAGTCTTGCATGCATGCCTATTTTAAGGCTTATTAAATTTTTGAGAATAAGATATAATGGCGATGTTGGTGAAAAAGTGTTTTCTTTTCTTTTCTTTTTTTTTTTTTTTTTTGAGACAGAGTCTTGCTCTGTTGCCCAGGCTGGAGTACAGTGGAGCGATCTCAGCTCACTGCAACCTCTGCCTCCCCGGTTCAAGCGATTCTCCTGCCTCAGCCTCCCGAGTAGCTGGGAATACAGGCATGTGCCACCACACCCGGCTAATTTTTGTAATTTTACTAGAGGCGGGATTTCACTGTATTGGTCAGGCTGGTCTCGCTTCTGACCTCAGGTGATCCACCTGCCTCAGCCTCCCAAAGTGTTAGGATTACAGATGTGAGCCACCATGCCTGGTGAAAAAGTGTTTTCATATAGAATTTTCCCTTTATAATTTAAAATCACCTTATTTTCTACAGATATAGTTTTTTTTTTTTTTTTTTTGTTAGAGACAGGGTCTCACTCTGTCCTCTGGGCTGGAGTGCAGTGGTGCAATCATAGCTCACTGCAGCCAATCATAACTTGCTGTAGCCTCGAAGTCCTAGGCTGAAGTGATCTTCCCGCCTCAGCCTCCCAAGTAGTAGTGCTACCACACTTGGCACATTTTTTTTTTTTTCTGTAGAGATGGCCGTCTCACTTTGTTGCCCAAGCTGGAGTGCAGTGGCATGATCATAGCTTACTGCATCCTCAAACTCATGGGCTCAAGCAATCCTACCACCTTAGCCTCCTGAGAGGTGGTTTTACAGGCTTGAACCAGCGTGCCCAACTAGTTTGATTTCTTACTGTGATTTCTTTTTTTTTTGAGACAGAGTCTCGCTTTGTCGCCCAGGCTGGAGTGCAGTGGCGCGATTGCAGCTCACTGCAAGCTCTGCCTCCCGGGTTCACACAATTCTCCCGCCTCAGCTTCCTGAGTAGCTGGGACTACAGGCACCAGCCATCACGCCCAGCTAATTTTTTGTATTTTTTTTAGTAGAGACAGGGTTTCACTGTGTTAGCCAGGATGGTCTCGATCTTCTGACCTCATGATCCACCTGCCTCGGCCTCCCAAAGTGCTGGGATTACAGGCGTGAGCCACTGCGCCTGGCCTGATTTCTTACTGTGATTTCTGAAAGACCAAGCATATAGATGAACATGATTTTTGTTATAATAAAGTGATATGCCATTATGGTTAAAAAGGTTTTGAACTGAGTAATATGAAATGACATATTATCAGATGAGAATTTAGCATATTAGGATGTTATAACAAAGTTTATCTTTTTCTTGAAAAATAACTTTCTTCTTATTAAGATGGTAAGATGATAAGATGCTTATTGTTTCTTCACCCCTTCCATATTTAGTATAGAATTCCACATAGACTGCCTCTCAGTTATGAATTTTATGTTCTAAATTAGATATTATACACTAGCCCAGGCATGATTTATGTCTGCAGAGTGGGGGGGTTTTTTTTTTGCATGCTTTAAAAAAATTTTCTATATTTTATTTTTATGTTTTTATTTATTTTTATTTTTGTTTTTGTTTTTTTTGAGATGTAGTCTCACCCTGTCACCCAGGGTGCAGTACAGTGGCATGATCTTGGCTCACTTCAACCTCTGCCTCCCAGGTTCAAGCATTTTTCCTGTCAGCCTCCCAAGTAGCTGAGATTACAGGCATGAGGCACCACGCCTGGCTAATTTTTGTATTTTTAGTAGAGACGAGGTTTCATCATGTTGACCAGGCTTGTGTTGAACTCCTGACCTCAAGTGATCCACCTGCCTCGGTCTCCCAAAGTGCTGGGATTACAAGCATGAACCATTGCACCTGGCCTATGTTTTTATTTTTTTAAAAAATATTTCAGTAGCTTTTGGGGTACAAGTGGTTTTTTGTTACATGGATTAATTGTATAGCGGTGAATTCTGGGATTTTAAGTGCACCCATTACCTGAGTATTGTATTTTGTACCTAATGTGTTGTTTTTTTTTATCCCTAGCTCACCTACCAACTTCCCTTTTCTGGTCTCTAACGTCCATTATATCACTCTGTATGCCTTTGCGTACTCATAGCTTAGCTCCCACTTATAAGTGAAAGTATGCAGTTTTTTATTTTCCCCTCCTGTGTTACTTCACTTAGAATAATGGCTTTCAGCTCCACCCAAGTTGCTGAAAAGACATTATTTTGTTCTTTTCAATGGCTAATGAAAGGTGTATTAAATATACACCATGATATCCATGGTATATATTTACCACATTTTCTTTATCCACCTATTAGTCAATGGGCATTTAGGTTGGTTAACATCTTTGCAATTGTGAATTGTGCTTCTGTAAACGTACATTGCACAGTGTATTTTTTTTTTTGAGATGGAGTCTCGCTCTGTTGCTTAGGGTGGAGTGCAGTGGCGCTATCTCGGTTCACTGCAAACTCCGTCTCCCGGGTTCACGCCATTCTCCTGCCTCAGCCTCCCGAGTAGCTGGGACTACAGGCGCCTGCCACCTTGCCTAGTTTTTTGTATTTTTTTTAGTAGAGACAGGGTTTCACCATGTTAGCCAGGATGGTCTTGATCTTCTGACCTTGTGGTCCGCCCACCTCGGCCTCCCAAAGTGCTGGGATTACAGGCTTGAGCCACCGCGCCTGGCCGCACAGTGTTTTTTAAAAAATTAAATTATTCAATACCGATGAATACTTTTAGGTATGTTAACAGAAAAATAAGAGCAGGAGTGGGAGCATCAAAGAAGATTTCATTTTCCTTGAATGTTTTGTTGCTTTTATGAAAAGACTTGAAGCACATATGATAATGTTAAAGTTTATTAAATTCTGAGTAAGGAGAGCCTTTATGTATCACTGTGGTTTAAAATTATATCAAAAGTGTTTGAGTTATTGACTAACATTTAAAAGTTGGGAGTTGTTATATAAAAATCATAGATACTTCATGTTTCAGAATTACCTTCTTCCACTTCAGTGCAGATAATCTCAAGTAGATATTAGAAGGAATGTACTCTATTTGAACTAATAATTTACATAAATGCTTATGTAAATAGGTCCTGAAACAGCTCAAGGAACCCAGAGTTTTCATGTACTGGAATAATGTCTGTTGTGTTTTTTTAACTTATTGAAATATAATCTACATAAAATACACATATGCCTTCCTCATTACCCTGTCCTCATCTCCAAGATTAACTATCTCTATTTGTAACTACATGGATTGGTTTTGCCTTTATACTTTATATAAATTGAATCATTCAGTATGATTTCCTTTCTTTTTTTTTTTTGAGACAGGGTCTCATTTGTTTTCCCAGACTGGAGTTGGAGTACAGTGGCGTGATCTTGGCGCACCGCAGCCTCCACCTGCTGGACTCAAGTGACCCTCTTGCCTCAGCCTCATGAGTAGCTGGGACTACAGTCATGTGCTACCACACCCAGCTACTTTTTGTATTTTTAGTAGAGATGGGGTTTTGCTATGTTGCCCAGGCTGGTCCTGAATTCCTGCACTCAAGTAATCTGCCTGCCTTGGCCTCCCGAAGTGCTGGGGTTACAGGCGTGAGCCACTGCGCCTAGTCAGTGTGATTTCTTTTGTGTCAGGCTTCTTTTGCTCAATACTAAGTTTATGAGATTTGTGTATACTTTTGTCATATAGTATTCTCTTGTAAGAGTATAACAAAATTTATTTATTCTATTGTTGATGGATATTCGATTTATTTCCAGTTTTTCGTTATTATCAACAGTACTGTTTATGAACAAATTCGTGTTTTTTTTTTTGTTGTTGAGACGGAGTCTCTCTCTGTCGCCCAGGCTGGAGTGCAGTGGCCGGATCTCAGCTCACTGCAAGTTCCGCTTCCTGGGTTTATGCCATTCTCCTGCCTCAGCCTCCCAAGTAGCTGGGACTACAGGCGCCCACCACCTCGCCCGGCTAGTTTTTTTTTTGTGTATTTTTTTAGTAGAGACGGGGTTTCACTGTGTTAGCCAGGATGGTCTCGATCTCCTGACCTCGTGATTGGCCCGTCTCGGCCTCCCAAAGTGCTGGGATTACAGGCTTGAGCCACTGCGCCCGGCCTCATGTATGTTTTTTAGTGAACATACATATTCATTTCTGTGTGCCAGCGAGTATAATCATTGGTTCATGGAGTATGCATGTCCTCATCTTCAGTAGATGCTACTGAACATTTTCTAAAGGGGTTATACCAGTCCCTACTCCCACTAACATAATGTACACATTCCTGGTGCTCCAAATCCTTGCCAACACTTGATTTTTTTTTAAACTTTTTTTCCCCTATAACCCAGGACAGTGCTCATACTTTTTAATTTTAGCTGTTCTGGTGGGTATGTTGTGGTATTATGAATAAATATACACAAATATCTAAGCTTTGGAAATTGAGGAAGTATCACAAGAAAAACAAGTGGAGGTTGGAGAAATTTATCTGTTGGGGGTTTATTTGTAGAAAAGTATCTCAAGATTGGTAGCTCCACAATGATGCAGCTTTTTGAAGGCTTTCATTTCTTAATATAAACTAGCGTATTAATTTTTTGTGGTTATAAGAATGAAATATGCAGTACTAACTAATTGCCTGCTTGTGTCAGGCACTGGACCAAATATTATGTAAAAATCATTTTGAAAATTTTGGAAAACAGAAAAAAGTATATTTGAGAGACTGAGGCAGGAGGATCATTTGAGGCCAGGAATTCAAGACCAGCGTGTTCAACATAGCAAGCCCCCATCTCTACAAAAAACTAAAATATTAGCAGGATGTAATAGTTCATGCCTGTAGTCCTAGCTACTCAGCAGGAGGCTTGTTTGAGCCCAGGACCTCAAAGTTACGGTGAACTATGGTCATGCCACAGCACTCCAGCCTGGGCTATAGAGTAAGACCTTGTCTCTAAAAAAAAAAAGAAAAGAAAAAAATATAAAGAAGAAAATAAAAATTATTCATAAACTCATTCATCCACTGTCAACAATTTGGTTTATTTCCTTGTTGTATACTACATATATGTATTTTTTTTCCTAGTTTACCATACAATTTTGTTTATTTGTTTTTGGTCATTTTACCTTATAAGCATCTACATCATTAAGAATGTTTTGTAAATCTTTTATAATGGCTGGTTAATACCCATCATTTGACTGTACCATAATTCACTTATTACTATTCCCCCTAATTATTTAGATTGTTTTCACATTTTAGCCATATAAACACTATGATAAGGCATGGTGGGGTGCACCTGTATCTCAGTTACACCCAGCTATGTTTGGGAAACTGAGGCAGAAGGATCACTTGAGCCCAGGAGTTGGAGATCAGCCTGGGAAACATTGTAAGACTCCCTCTAAAAGAAAAAAAAGATGAATAACAACACATATATTTTACCTGGATTTTATATTAGTTTATTAGGTTAGTTTCCCAGACAGGAATTGACCATGTCAAATGATATAATTAAAATACTTTTAAAGTTTTCAAAGCCATACTGCTAAATTGCTTTCCAGGAAGTTACACCAACTTTTTAAGTTTACTAATAGTGAATGAGAGTGCCTGTATCAGTACACCCTTGCTAACACTGAATATTAATATTACAATTATTTTAGTATGCTAATTTAAATATTTTAAATGGCCAGGCATAGTGGCTCATGCTTGTAATTCCAGCACTTTGGGAGGCTGAGCTGGGAGGATTGTTTGAGCCCAGGAGTTCAAGACCAGCCTGGGCAATAAAGCAAGACCCTGTCTCAACAACAAAGAACAAAAAATTAGCTGGGTGTGGCGGCATGTGCCTATATTCCCAGTGTGTAGGGAAGCTGAGGCAGGAGGAGTACTTGAGCCCAAGAGGTCAAGGCTGCAATGAGCTATATTGTGTCACTAGCCCTCTAGCCTGGGCGCCAGAGTGAGACCCTTTCTCCAGAAAAAAATTAATTTAAAAAATATTTTAAAGGTAACTCAATTTATGTATTTATTTTTTTGAGATGGAGTCTCACTCTGTTGCCCAGGCTGGAGTACAGTGGAGCGATCTCAGCTCACTGCAAGCTCCGCCTCCCGGGTTCACGCCATTCTCCTGCCTCAGCCTCCTGAGTAGCTGGGACTACAGGCGCCCACCACTACACCCAGCTAATTTTTTTTTTTGTATTTTTCGTAGAGATGGGGTTTCACCATATTAGCCAGGGTGGTCTCGATCTCCTGACCTCGTGATCCGCCCGCCTCGGCCTCCCAAAGTGCTGCAATTACAGGCATGAGCCACTGTGCCCGGCCTCAGTTTTGTTTTAGATTGTATTATTCCTTCCATTACTTCTATACCTAAAGTTTTTTTTTTTTTTTTTTTTTTTTGAGACAAAGTCTTGCTCTGTCGCCGAGGCTGGAGTGCAGTGGCGTGATTTTGGTTCACTGCAATCTCCTCCTCCTGGGTTCAAGTGATTCTCATGCCTTAGCCTCCCCAGTAGCTAGGATTACAGGCATGTGCCACCACACCCGGCTAATTTTTTGTATTTTCACTAGAGATGGGGTTTCATTATGTTAGCCAGACTGGTCTCGAACTTCTGAGCTCAAGCTATGCCCGCCTTGGCCTCCCAAATTGCTGGAATTAAAGGTGTGAGCTACCATGCCTGGCCCCCAGTTTTTTAATTTGTTTTTTTAAACAATTATTGTCCTGGTGGTGCAACTCGTGCCATGGGGATCTGGGAAATAAGTAGAAAATGGGGTCAACTATGTCCTATTTCTTTTGTTGTTGTTTGTTTATTCATTTGTTTTAAATGTTGGACTATGTATCAGAAACAAAAAAGGAACCAGTTTTATCAGGTGATCACTGTATGCCAGGGCCTTACAGGTCATATCAGAAATTGAACCCAAGTTCTTTCTTCAGCAACAGCACTGGAAACATTGTTCTGACATGGACCTTTTGTTTCCCTGGGACTGTGGTTTTATTTTTGAATAAAAAATTCTGGCCTGTGCTTCAGAACAGAACAGGTCTTCCTGTTTTATTCCTTTATTCCTTCCACTATTTCTATGGCTAAAGATTTTTTTTTTTCTTTTTTTTTTCTTTTGAGATGGAGGGCATCAGGAAGTCTTAGGCTTTCCTGAATAATTCTTTATGGACCTATCATTGAATTTATCTGACTCTTTTTTTTTTTTTTTTTTTAGACGGAGTCTGGCTCTGTTGCCCAGGCTGGAGTGCAGTGGCCGGATCTCAGCTCACTGCAAGCCCCGCCTCCCAGGTTCACGCCGTTCTCCTGCCTCAGCCTCCCAAGTAGCTGGGAGTACAGGCGCCCACCACCTCGCCCGGCTAATTTTTTTTGTATTTTAGTAGAGACGAGGTTTCACCGTGTTAGCCAGGATGGTCTCGATCTCCTGACCTCGTGATCCGCCCGTCTTGGCCTCCCATTTTTTTTTTTTTTTTTTATAAGATAGAGTCGTCTTCTGTCGCCCAGGCTGGAGTGCAGTGGCATGATCTCGGCTCACTGCAACCTCTACCTCCCTGGCTCAAGGGATTCCCCTGCCTCAGTCTCCCGAGTAGCTGGGATTACAGGTGCACGTCACTATGCCTGGCTAATTTTTTTGTATTTTTAGTAGAGACGGCATTTCACCATGTTGGCCAGACTGGTCTCGAACTCCTGACCTTAGGCAATCCGCCCTCCTCGGCCTCCCAAAATGCTGAGATTACAGGCATGAGCCACCATGCCTGGCCTATCTAACTCTTCTTAAATTAACTTGTATTATGCCCACCTGTGATGTTACATATATTGGCTTTCATCCTAGTTACTAGTTCATAACTTCTATAGCTCTTGCTATAGTCTTTTGTTACCATGTTAGGTGTATTAGGGCTCTGGAAACAGAATATCTCTCCTGCCCTAAAGCAGGACTCTAATCTCCCTCCACCTTTCTGATCGTGGGTCTTAAAGACACTCCCCTGAGAGATCCCACCCGACACCCTATGTGAAGAAATGCTGACATTATGAAGCTCATACAAACCCAAGAAGAGTGGGTTCGGACTGCTTCCGGATAGCTGAACACGTGGAGGTTCCTGGAGGGTGGCATGGTCAGGGAGGGCATGGAAGCTCTGCACCCCTTCCCACATACCTCACTCTACTGTCCCTTCATCTGCATTCTTTATAGTATCTTTTATAATAAATCTGTAAACATAAGCAACTGTTTCTCTGAGTTCTGTGAACCACTTCAGCAAATTAAACTCAAAGAGGAGGTCGTGAGAACCCCAACTTGAAGCCAGTTGCTCAGAAGTTCTGGAGGCCTACTTTTGCAACTGGAGTCTGGGGTTTTTGTGGGAGAGGTCAGTCTTAGAGACCAAGTTCCCAACCTGTGGGATCTGACACTGTCTCCAGGTAGATAGTGTCAGAACTGAATTGGACACCCAGCTGGTGTCCCCTGCTTGGAAGAACCCCCACACATTTGATCACAGAAGTCTTCTGTGTTGATGATTGTTGTGGCTTCAGATTAGAGGAAAAACACAGTTTGAAAGAGGTTTTTTTGAATCATCATCTTACCTATTAATTGTAGTACTCATTATATATATTCATATTTTAATACATATATATTTTGGTTTTGTGGCTGATGTATTAATTTTATTCATTTTTTATTTTGCAGTTATTTGAAAATTAGTTTCATACCAACTGAGGTGTCCATTCTGGTGTGTGCTATTTCCCTGCTCCCTTCTCCTCACTTGGACGAAGTGGGGATATCCCGAATTGAAGCCGTTTTACCACAGTGTAACCTAAATAACCTGAGTAGTTTTGCTACATCTGTTTTAAGATGGATTCAGTATGATCACATGTATTTGGATAGTATTACTGGGAAACAACTGAAACTACTTCAAAAATTAGATCACTATGGTCGTCAGAGACTACAACACAGCAACAGTTTGGATCTGTTATGGGAGGAACTTAAATCTGTCAGAGGAATCACGTTTCCTGAGTCACTTCTTGAAGAAACGATTGCTACTTTACAGCATTTCGTGGATGAAATTAATTACATAAATGTTGTGGAGATTGCATCTTTTATTTCTAATACTGATTACCTCAGTACTTTGCTACTTGATAGGATAGCCTCAGTGACTATTCAGCAGATTGAAAAGGTGAAATTTAAATGTTACACATTAATTTTATAGAGTTGTCAACTTCTGCAAGCATAATTTTTATCATAGGCATTTTGAGAACTTGGATTGGAATTTGAGGTTTAAAAATTAAATAAATTCTGGGTCAGATATGGTAGCTCAAGCCTGTAATTGGAGTGGTTGGGAGGCTGAGATGAGAGGATTGGTTGAGCCCAGGAATTAAGGCTCAGTGAGCTGTGATTGCACCACTGCACTCCACCCTGGGTGACAGAGTGAGACCCTGTCTCTTAAAAAAAACAAAGAAAACTCTGGTTTCTGTTGCAGCGATTTGTTGTTCCTGTCCTTGAAGTCACTTTCTTCTTCCAGCATTGCAGATTTGGAAAGAATCAGCAATCATTCTTTGGTTCATTACACTATTAAGATTAGGAATCAATTATTTGAGGAAACTCATATTGGCACAGCAGAGTATGAATGATTTTTGGTTTTACTTTTTCTTATTTCTATAATCATGTGTTATCATTTTTACCATTTAAAAGCAGTTATATTCAAAAGCGTGAGATAAGCTTAAAACAGAAAATTGTAAGGTATCCATTGGCAACAGTATTCTTAAATTGTCATTGCACCTTCTTGCAGATTTATTTCTGGGACTTACTTGTAAAATGCCACTTTATGGATTATATGAGAAGCAGCTCACTTACAAAATCACTATCATAAATATATCAGAGCAAGGCCTTTATTTAAAAGACAGTGTTTCTCACAACCGAAAATAAAAAGTTAACTTGCTTAGTATAATGCCTGGAAGTCATTAAGTATTGGATAAATGAGTGAAAAATGAAATAAAAAAGCAAATGAAAGAAAAATGAATGCTAATGATTGTAATTTAAGAAACTTCCCTACATTATGATTATTCTATAAAATGTACTGATTATCATGGAAATTGCTGATACTGTTTCCTATTCAATTTAGTGACTAATGAATTCTGAAACCGAATTTATTTATTTATTTTAAATTTAAATAAAGACAGGGTCTTACTATGTTGCTCTGACTAATCTCAAACTCCTGGCCTCAAGCAGTCCTCCCACCTCAGCCATCCAAAGTGTTGAGATGACAGGCATGAGCCACCACTCCCAGCCAGAATAGAATTATACACCTAACAAAATAAATTTGTAGATTGTCTGATTTACTTCTTTTTTGTTACATTAACACTTTTGGAGTTATTAATAATTGTAGGTGGGGTTAAATAAATTATAGCAGGATGGAAAAATTAATAAGCAGAGTGATACATTTATTATTTAACTGTAGTGATAATAGGAAAAGATTTCTCCTAAAAAATAATTAGGTTAAAATTTTGTCTTATTTTCCTAAAGTTTAAACTATAAATTTTTTGTTCTTTTTATACAGATCCATCCTTTTACAATCCTTGCTATTATTCTTCCATTCAGCACTTTGAACTATGATCCACCTCAAAGGGATGAATTTTTTGGAACTTGCGTGCAACATCTTAATTCTTATTTAGGTAGGTATATTGTTTGGTAATACACTGAGTGAATAAGTCAGAGGTTACCTGTTGCTGCTGAGCTAGGAGATGTCCCTCATTTAAAGGGTAACCATAATAGCCATGAATTCTCTACTTAAAAAAAGGTTTTTTGTTTGTTTGTTTGTTTTTCAGACAGAGTCTTGCTCTGTCACCCAGGCTGGAGTGCAGTGGCACAATCTTGGCTCACTGCAACCTGTCTCCTGGGTTCAAGTGATTCTCCTGCCTCAGTCACCCCAGTAGCTTGGACTATAAGCGTGTGCCACCACACCTGGCTAATTTTTTGCATTTTTAGTACAGACAGGGTTTCACCATGTTGGCCAGGGTGGCCTGGAACTCCTGACCTCAGGTGATCCACCTGCCAAGGCCTCCCAAAATGTTGGGATTACAGGTGTGAGCCACTGCTCCTGGCCCTAAAAAAACTTTGTATCCATTTTAATTAAGAAAAATGTCAAACTTGTATAAATAATTAAACAAAGAACACATACACACTCACTGTATAGATTCAATAATGTTAACATTTTATTGTATTTGCTTGTCTGTTTGTTTCTGACTCTCTTATTTTTTTCTGAGCTATTTCAAAGTTGTAGGCATTGTGACCCTCCACCCCTAAATACTTTAGCATACATCTCCTAAGAATAATGACATTCTTCTATACCACCGCAATACCGTTGACACAGTAAGAAACTTAATCATAATTCCCTAATAACTAATACACAGTTCATGTTTCAGTCTCCCTAAGTGTTCCCAAAATACATTTTAGAGTAGTTGTTTTGGACCCAGTATTCAATCATTGTGTTTGGTTGTTATCTCTTCAGTCTCTTATAGTCTAGAATTTTGTTTCCCTTTTTTCTTTTCTTGGCATTGACTTGGTTTTTTGTTTTTTTCTTAATTTTTTGCTATCCAGGTTTTCAAATATACAGAAAAATTGAACAATATAACAAACATCTGTATAATAAACTGTAGGCCCACAATTGTGATTGAATATTAACATTTGCCACATTTGCTCTGTGTATATGCACAAGTGTGTATGTGTATGATGAACCTTCCAGTTGTCAGCTCTATGTACTTCAGGTTATAAGGACATTCTCCTATGTAACTACAATACTGGTATCATTACTATTACTAAAGAAAATGAACAATCTACTACCTAGTCTGTAATCAAATTTTCCCAATAGTCACCAAATTATCTTGTATAACTTTTTTTTTTTTTTTTTTTTTTGAGACGAAGTCTTGCTCTGTCGCCGGGGCTGGAGTGCAGTGGCCCGATCTCAGCTCACTGCAAGCTCCGCCTCCTGGGTTCAGGCCATTCTCCTGCCTCAGCCTCCCGAGTAGCTGGTACTACAGGCGCCCGCCACCTCGCCCAGCTAGTTTTTTATATTTTTTAGTAGAGACGGGGTTTCACCGTGTTAGCCAGGATGGTCTTGATCTCCTGACCTCGTGATCCGCCCGTCTCGGCCTCCCAAAGTGCTGGGATTACAGGCTTGAGCCACTGCGCCCGGCCAGCTTTTTTCTTTTTTTGAGACAGAGTTTTGCTTTTGTTACCCAGGCTGGAGTGCAATGGCGTGAACTCAGCTCACTGCAACTTCCGCCTCCTGGGTTCAAGCGATTCTCCTGCCACAGCCTCCCGAGTAGCTGGGATTACAGGCATGCTCCACCACACCTGGCGAATTTTGTATTTTTAGTAGAGACGGGGTTTCTCCATGTTGGACAGGCTGGTCTGGAACTCCTGACTTCAGGTGATCCACCCACCTCAGCCTCCCAAAGTGCTGGGATTACAGACGTGAGCCACAGTGCCTGACTATAACTATTTTTTTTTAAACAATCAATACTGAGTAGTTATGTATTTTCCTCCATCTTTTTTGCTTGATATTTATTTTTATAAAATGATTCGCCATTTATTATAAATTGTGCCACATTCTGGATTTGTCTGATTGTTTTCCTTTAACTTGCTTCTCCATCTCCTGCATTTGTAGTAAACTAGAAGTTAGGTATAGATGCTTGGTTAGGTTCAGATTAAACATTTACAGCAAAAATAACTTGTATGTGGTGCTGTGTACCTTATATTTAGATCACATCTGGAGGCACATAATGTCTGATTGTTTCTGTCTATTTAGATTTTTTTTTTTTTGAGATGGAGTCTTGCCAGATTGTTTTTTAAAAGTAAAAAAAATGTTTCTTAAGAATCTTAATAGATGTTTGTCAATTGTTTGAAGGGTTGCTGCTCTTATGCTGATTATTTTGTATCTCTTAAAAAGGTCTTTTAAAAAATTATCTTTTAAATTTAGAGATGGGGTCTTGCTACATTGCCCAGGCTGATATCAAACTCATGGGCTCAAGTAGTCCTCCCACTTTGGCCTCCCAAGTGCTGGGATTACAGGCATGAGCCACCACACCCGGCCAGAAAAGTCTTTTGATAATATTTCAGTACTAGAAAAAAGTAGAATAGAAATAGTCCTTCCTGCTGTTAACCTTAGCAGAAGCAATATGTGAGGATAGCAGAGACAGGAAATTACTTTTTCTTTTTCCTTTTCATTTTTATTTTGGGTCTGAGTTGTGTTTGGAACAGTTTGACCTTCAAGGAGTAGAGCTTTATGTGACTTTTCTTCTCAGACTCACACTATGTACTTGTCAGTATGATATAGAAGTTTTAGAGGAGAAATGCTCAGTAGCCATTCCTTTTCACTCAACACTTTCCATGTACTTACTGTCAGGTATTCTAGGCACTGGAGATACAGGAGAGAGTAAAAACAGATAAACTACCATCATGGAGTTTACTTTCTGGTAGGGGGAGATTGACGTAAACAATAAACAAGCCTCTAAGGTCAGATGGTGATAAGTACCTTCAAGAACATTAGAGCAGGGTAAGTGTATAGGCTGGAGCATCATGCTAAGTGTGAGATGGAGTAAATTTTGGATAAGGGATTCAGGGACTGCCTCTCCGAGGAGATGTCATTTAACCATGGATTAAATGAAGTGAGGGAGTGATCCATGTCAGTAGATAGGGAAGAGAGTCCCAGGATGAAAGAAAGGGAAGTGGAAAGGGCCCTCAGGTGAGAGCATGTTTGGTTTTTTCCAGGAACAGTGAATTCAGTGTGGCAGGAGTGGATGAGAGAGACCAAGTTGGTAGGAGATAAGGTTGGAGAGACAGCCAGAGACTGGTTTCCTCACATCTTTTTGCTCTGCCTGGAGAGTAAAAATTACCCAGTTATCTACCAAGCAACAGATACTGAGAGCCTCCATATCCAGCATAACATGTTATAGACCTTTAGACCTCTGGTGAAGGTGGTGTGAAACAAGTATGAATATATTAATTGTGTCTGCATCATGCTAATGGACTTTGCTACATTTTTGTGGGATCTGTGGGCCAGATAGCATCTAATATGATGCTACTGTGATACTACTGTGTCACAGCCTACAACATGAGTCTGGGATATGTATATGTATATGTATATGTGTATATGAATGTGTTTCATGAGTGGTGTACATTTATACCCCTTTTTAGTAACACAACTATATGTAGAAAGATGAGCCTTTAAATTGAGAGAGTATATTCTCCTGGTTGTTTAGTCATGTGTCAACAACCAGAAGGAAATAAAAGTACATCTCTTCCCATATTCTCCAAATAGTCTTAGAAATTAGAAATTTTTGTTGCTAAAGAGTATAAGGGAAGAAAGATTGAGAAGTACAGCTTTGAGTTTTAAAAACTTAATCAGAGAAAGTTTAAAAAATTCCTAGGGAACTTTATAAGTAAAATTTTAAATAGCGAATAGAGTAATACTTTTCATTGTTTTGAGTAATGACAAATTTTGACAGATTAGTTTTGCTGGTGGAGATCATCACTGTTATGACCTGGTCTTGTTTTATTAAATAAACTCAGTAAAAAACTGAAAAGGAAAGATTTAATATTGTCTATTCTGTTCTTAGTAAGAATATTGATAGCAATCAGGCATTTTAGGTGGCCCTTTCCCTCACATTAGAAATATCTCTTGGATGAGGCAAATTAGGTAAATAGTTGAAGCCTTATACTGTGGGACATCTGCCATGCTGCTGGGTGACAACTAAAGGAGGAGGTGCTAGGCAAGACCTAAGCCTCAAACATGTGTACACTCTGCTTGGAGATCTGAGATCCCCAGAGAGCAGCATGGTATAATAATCCAGGCTCCAGAGCTGGACATTCTGGGTTAAATCCTACTCTCCGCTTGCCAACTCTGTGATCTTGGGCAAGTCATTTAACCTCTGTGCTTCCTAACGCTTCTTTATAAAGCAGAGATAATTGTTTCTACTGATATAAGATATAAATGAGTTGGTATATCTAAAGTGTTTAGAATGGTATGTAACATATTCTGAACACTATTGTATTATTATCACCAATACCAGGATCACTTCTTTTTACATGCAGCACTGTCCTTTTGTTTTGGATTCTTTTTCCAAGGCTATTTTTAAAACTTCTTACTAAAGTGTAATAACAAATGTTCATATAACTTTAGTATAATAGTATGAATTTATTCAAATTGAATCACCTAGGGAATCAGTACTGAGGTTAAGACACAGAGTATTATCACAGTACCCTTCTCCTCTTGTCCCCTTTTCCTACTTGGCCCCCACCCAAAGGTAACCACTTAACCATTATCCTGTCTTGTAACAGTATAGATTAGTTTTGTCAAAGCTGTGTATCATTTTTTTTTTTAAACCTAGCTTTGCCTGAATAAATTATAAATTTATATATAAGTGAGGCAGCTATACCTTTAAAAAAATCTTAATTTTCTTTTAGGTATATTGGATCCTCTTATGTTAGTGTGTCTTGGTTTCTCTTTGGCCACACTTCAATATTTTCCAGAAGATCTGCTAAAGTCAATTTTTAACATCAAATTCTTATCTAGATTGGATTCTCAACTTGAAAGTACGTATCTACGTTTTAATTTATTTGTCTGTTGTACTTTATATCCAAGTCTGGGGTCTACCTATACTGAAGAATTTTAATGTTAATAACTTTTTTCTGTTTCTAATAGTATTCATGCTTATTGTAGAAATTTGGAAAACACAGGAATAAAATAGAAAATAAAAAATTACCCATCTTACTAACAAGTAAAACTACCACTTTTAATGTTTTGGAGTATTTCTTTTCTGTCTTTCTCCTTCTCTTGTGTGAATGTTTATATATTTGTGTTTTTTTGTTTTGTTTTGAGACAGGGTCTCACTCTGTTGCCCAGGCTGGAGTACAGTGGTGCAGTTATAGCTCACTGAAGCCTTGGACTCCAGGATCAAGTGATCCTCCCACCTCAGCCTTCCGAGTAGCTGGGACCACAGGCGTGTGTCACCATGCCCAGCTAATTTTTTTTTTAATAGCTGGGATCTCACTGTATTGCCCAGGCTGGTGTCAAACTCTTGAGCTCAAGTGATTCTCCCTCCTTGGCCTCCCAGATGTGTGAACCCCCACACCCAGCCTGTATTTAATTTTAATTTGTTAAATTTTTTATTTTTATATTTTGAGACAGAGTTTTGCTATGTTGCCCAGGCTGGTCTCTAGCTCCTGGCCTCAAGCAATCCTCTTGCCTCGGCCTCCCAAAGTGTTGGGATTACAGGCATGAGCCACTGTACCCAGCCCCTGTATGAATTTTATTTTATTTTACATTTCTTACTTTGTTTTTCTTTTCTTTTCTTTTTTTTTTGAGATGGAGTCTTGCTCTGTTTCTCAGGCTGGAGTGCAGTGGCTCAAACTTAGCTCACGGCAACCTCTGCCTTCCCATTTCAAGTGATTGGTTCTCCTGCTTCAGCCTCTCGAGTAGCTGGGATTATAAGTAGGTGCCACCATGCCTGGCTAATTTTTCTATTTGCAGTAGAGACGAGGTTTCACCATGTTGGCCAGGTTGGTGTTGAACTCCTGACCTCAAGTGATCTGTCTACCTCGGCCTCACAAAGTGGTAGGATTACAGGTATGAGCCCCCATGCCTGGCCCCTATATGAATTTTAAAACAAAATTTGGATTACTTATATGTTCACTTTTGTATGCTGCCTTTTTCCATCTAACTATATTTTGAGCAATTTTCCATGTTATTAAATATTTTTTATGTCTTTTTTTATTGGCTACATAATGTCCCATTATATGGATATAATAAAATTTGTCATCTTATAGATTGTTTCTAATTCCTCATCATTGTAAGTAATTAATTGTTATACATGAATCATTGTTTCCTTAGGATAAAATCCTAAGTATGGAATATTAGGTGAATGAAAATTCTTGGGAGTATTTTTTTTTTTTTTTCTCGCCCGGCTTATTTTTTTGTATTTTTAGTAGAGACGGGGTTTCTTTTTTTTTTTTGAGACGGAGTCTGGCTCTGTCGCCCAGGCTGGAGTGCAGTGGCCAGATCTCAGCTCACTGCAAGCTCCGCCTCCCGGGTTTACGCCATTCTCCTGCCTCAGCCTCCCGAGTAGCTGGGACTACAGGCGCCGCCACCACGCCTGGCTAGTTTTTTTTGTATTTTTTAGTAGAGATGGGGTTTCACCGTGTTAGCCAGGATGGTCTCGATCTCCTGACCTCGTGATCCGCCGAGACGGGGTTTCACCATGTTAGCCAGGATGGTCTCGATCTCCTGACCTCGTGATCCGCCCGTCTCGGCCTCCCAAAGTGCTGGGATTACAGGCTTGAGCCACCGCGCCCGGCCCTTTTTTTTTTTTTTTGAGACGGAGTTTTGCGCTTGTTGCCCAGGCTGGAGTGCAATGGCATGATCTCGGCTACCCGAAACCTCCACCTTCTGGATTCAAGCAATTCTCCTGCCTTGGCCTCCCGAGTAGCTGGGATTACAGGCATGCGCCACCATGCCCGGCTAATTTTGTATTTTTAGTAGAGATGGGGTTTCTCCATGTTGGTCAGGCTGGTCTTGAACTCCTGACCTCAGGTGATCCATCCACCTCAGCCTCTCAAAGTGTTGGGATTACAGGCGTGAGCCACCGCGCCCTGCCAGGAGTATTTTTTAAATGTACTTTTAACATTCATGATTAATGAGAACAGTGTAGGAGTTGGTCCTTATCATGTCACTGAATGTAATAATTTAAAAATATATAAAGCATACATTTGTAAATTAGAAATGTAAACAGTTCTAAATACTGTTAGAATAAAAGCATCTAGTAATATTGGGGATAAATGAATGTGAAAAAAAATGGGTTGTCTTTCCTAGGTTTCAGATCTCAAAATTCATTAGTATTTTATTAATTTCAGTTTTATCTTCATCTCTAAGTGCAAGAGTCCAGTTTCATCTTATGGAGTTAAATAGATCAATCTGCTTGGAATGCCCTGAGTTTCAGATTCCATGGTTTCATGATCGCTTCTGTCAACAATATAATAAAGGTTTGAGTTTTCTTTTAGTCAGATAGCAAAGTTTAATTCTAAAGTAAATTATTGTGTAGTACATTGTTAATCTTGTTATACTTAAACATGACACGAGCCTTCCCAAGAGTGCCATGACCTGTTTAATATTTTATATGCGATATTGTAGATGGAACATTATAAGAATTTCTTAATATTTGGGACATAACCCTCTTTCAGTTGAGAGCAAAGAACTTGTATTGAATTTAGTGTCATTACATAAGATATTACATTGAAGCTCTTATTGGAAATATTAATCTTTATTTTTCAATTTGTAGAATTGGAATGATTTTCATTAAAAAACTGATTAAGGCTGGGTGCGGTGGCTCACGCCTGTAATCCCAGCACTTTGGGAGGCTGAAAGGCTGGCAGATCACCTGAGGTCAGGAGTTTGAGACCAGCCTGACCAACAACATGGAGAAACCCCGTCTCTACTAAAAATACAAAATTAGCTGGGCGTGGGGGTACACACTTGTAATCCCAGCTACTCAGGAGGCTGAGGCAGGAGAATTGCTTGAACTGGGGAGACGGAGGTTGCAGTGAGCTGAGATCGTGCCATTGCATTCCACCCTGGACAACAAGTGCGAAAACTCCATCTCAAAAAAAAAAAAAAAAAAAAAAAAAAAGATTAAGTAGACTAATTATTTATATTTTATAAAGGTATTGGCGGCATGAATGGAGCACAACAGCAGATTTATAAAATGTTAGCAGAGGTACTAGGAGGAATCAATTGTGTAAAAGCCTCGGTTCTTACGCCTTATTACCACACAGTAGGTAAGTTATTGGTAGGTTATTAGTTACTTTCAGAAAATCAAACTAATATGAATAGAATCATCAGTTGGAATTTTTAAAAGTTTTTTTTTGATTTTTTATTCAAGTTGTTATTATTATTAAAATTTCCAAACAGAGGTAGAAAGAACAATAGAATAAATCCTCAAGTTTGCATGGCTCAGTGTTGATAACCAGGAGCATTTTCTGTTCTTTAGAAAAAAAAAAAATTAAAGTCAGTCCTCCACCAATTCTAAGTAAAACCCAGATTCAGATTCACCGAATGTTTCTGTATCTTCAAAAGATTCTGTCCTCTCCATTCGGTGTGTGAAAATAAGAGAAATGACTCTTTAATCTCTATTTCATTGTTTTAAGTTCATCTGAAAAACTAAGTTGGATTATCAGCCTAGATGAAGATTTCCAAAGATACTGTGCTTGATGTTAACCTGATTAATCTTGTTTCTCAACTGTTCTAGTTGTGGAATGCATTCTAATTGAATTGTGGATTATATAAAGCTAGTGGACTAGCTTATGTTGATGGCAATATAAAATTTTCAAAGATACTGCTATATTCAAATGGTGATCTTAAATGAAAAAGATAAAATTTTAAGATAATTAACATAAACTTTCTAAATTTAGGTTTAGAAAACCTCTGCATATATACAGCATATTTAAAAGGATTATAAACTTGGTATAAACTAACAGCGTAAATGGTAGCCAAAAATCAAATACTATTTAAACTATATTGTTAATAATAACAACAAAGTTGGTAATCCCATTGTATTCTATTTTTCAGACATCTTAATATTGTATTATTATTATTTTTTTGCATGTTGTCCTTTTTAAGAGATAGTGACATGTAGGGTCTAGAAACAAAGGAGGACAGATAGTGAAGGATCTTGTCTAATTATGTCTTAGAACTAGAGAGGACTAGGATTGCATGGATTTCAATCCTTGAGCAAGTTCTTCCGAACCTTGTTAGCTTCTTCATCAGTGAAATGGGGATAATAATGCCTACTTGATAGGATTAACTGAGATATTGCATGTGAAGCATTTAACACTATCCTTGGAACATAGTAAGTGCTCAATACATTTATTTTTATTTTAATTTTTTTTATAGAGACAGGGTCTCACTATGTTGCCCAGACTGGTCTCAAACTCCTAGGCTCAAGCGATCCTCCTGCCTCAGCTCAGCCTCCCAGAGTGTTGGGATTACAGGTGTGAGCCACTGTTCCCAGCCCAATAAATCTTACTTGGGGCCGGGAGGGCAGGGGGGGAAGGATGTTTAGTCTGAAAAATAGAAGTCTTATGGGGACCATAATCTTTTAAAATGTTTGAAGGATTGTTAAGTAGAGAACTAGGTATCTCTATCTTAAAGATGAACAAAATGGTAAAAATGAAAGAAAGCAGATTTAACTTGGTATAAGGAGAATTATTGGCTGCTTTCTGAAGAAGTAATGTTGAGGTAGAGGCTGAATATTCAGATGATAGATGTGTGTGATTTTTATACTGGGCAGGAAGGTGAACTAGATAATCATTAATACTCTCATCTTGTGTTACAAAACACAAGTTTCCTTTGATTTTATATTAATCAGGATTGAGTTGGGTATGAGTGACAAAAATCCATAAATTGGCTGGGCACAGTGGCTCATGCTCATACACATAGTCTTAGCACTTTGGGAGGCTGAGGTGGAAGGATGGCTTGAGCTCAAGAGTTTGAGACCAGCCTGGGCAATATAGTGAAACCCTATCTCTAAATAAATAAATACGTACATAAATAAAATAACAGGCATGGTGGTATGCCCCTCTAGTCCCATTGCTCAGGAGTTTGAGACCAGCCTGGGCAATAAGTGAGACCCTGTCTCTAAATAAATAAATAAATAATTAGCAGGCATGGTGGCATGCCCCTGTAGTCCCATTAGGAGGCTGAGGTGGGAGGATCTCTTGAACCCAGGAATTGGAGTCTACAGTGAGTTACAGTCACTCTACTGCACTCTAGCCTGAGTGACAGAGCAAGACTGTGTCTCTAAAACAAAAACAAAACAAAACAAGAAACAAACATTGAAGCTGGGCATGGTAGTGCAAGCCTGTAATCCTAGCTACTTTGAGAGACAGAGGTAGGAGGATCACTTGAGCCCAGAAGTTTGATACCAGCCTGGGCAATATAGTGAGACACCATCTCTTTTTAAAATTGTTCTTGTTTTCTTCAGAACAATATGAACATAACCCCATCTCTTAAAAAAATTACACAAGACATGCTTAGCATAGAAAAACTAGAAAAGGAAGATAACAAAAAAGAAAAATTACCCATGATATAGCCACTGTTTGCTTTTGGTGTCTGTTTTCCTAACTTAAAAAAGAAAAAGACAAAAATAGTTTTCTTCTGTAGTGTTTGTGTTTTAGTCCTTTTCTGCTGTTACAACAAAATACTTGAGACTGGTTAATTTATAAACAACAGAAATTCTGGAGGCTAGGAATTCCAAGCTCGAGATACCAACAGGTTTGGTATCTAGTGAGGACCTGGCCTCTGTTTCCAAGATGGTTCTTTCAATGCTGTGTCCTCCCATGGCAGAAGGGACAGGAAGGTAAAGGATGCTCATTTATAGGGTCACTAATCTCATTAATGAGGGCTCGGCCCTCATGACTTAATCATCTCCTAATCCTCTTTTTTTTTTTTTTTTGAAAAAGGGTCTTGTTCTGTCACCCAGGTTGGAGTGCAGTGCAGGAGTGCAGTGGCATGATCACAGTGCATTGCATCCTCTGCTTCCAGAGCTCGAGTGATTCTCCCACCTCAGCCTCCTGAGTAGCTGGGTCTACAGGCACACACCAGGACACCAGGCTAATTTTTGTATTTTTTTGTGGAGATGGGGTTTCACTATGTTGCACAGGCTGGTCTTGAACTCCTGAGCTCAAGCAATCCTCCTGCCTCTGCCTCCCAAAATGCTAGGATAACAGGTATGAGATACCACGCCTGGCCTAAGGTCCCACTATTATTTTTAACACATTGATGATTATGTTTCAACGTAAGAATTTTGGGGGACACATTCAGTTCATAGCAGTTTATAACTTTATATGTTGTGAATATTTTTCTATGCCAACAGATATGCTTATACAACATCTTTTTTAGTTACTGCATATTTCGTTGAGTATGCTATTATTTAATCGATCTGTAAGATTTTTTTTTGCTGGTATGTCCGTCTGTCAAACAATGCTGCAATTTCAAATAACAACAATTATAGATATATCTTTACATATTGCTTATTATGTGTTAGACAGTGTTTTAAGTGCTTTATAAGTACTTGTGTGTGTGTATGCGTGTAGTAAAATTATATCCCTATGAAGTATGTAAATTATTTACAGATGAGGAGACTGAAGCCCACAAACATTATTGATTGCCCAAGGTTATATACCTGGCAAATGACAGAGCCAGGATTTGAGCTTGGCATTCTGGCTCTAGAATTCATTCTCTTAATGAGAAAGCTATATATTTCATGTTTCATAATTAACTTAAAGATGGTTCAGTGCCTTAGTTTTTCACCAGAGTTCCATCTGATTCTTTTCAAATCACAGACATCATTTCAGGATGTATATCTAAAAGATAAGAATGACTTTAAAAACAACAATATCATCTTTATCATCCTATAACCATTAATAATAATTTAATGTTTTTTAAGAAATGTAGAGCAGTATGTGAAATTTAATATAAGTAGAGAGATATGGGAAATTTTAGATAAAATTTAACATTTTATGGAAATGTTAGATTTGGCATACTATAATGAACTCAATGATCAAGGATTGAAGGTAGTAGAATTATGGGGAATTTAACATAAGTAGAGAGATATGAGAAATTTTAGATAAAATTTAACATTTTAGCAAAATGTTAGATTTGGTGTACTATAATGAATCCAATGATGAAGGACTGAAGATAGTGGAATCTTTTCCTCATACATCTCATGCACTCTACCCCTATACCTTTGCTTTTCCTGTTTTAAGTGTCCTTTATGTTTATTTTACAGTTTATTTGTTCAAATTGGGACCTTAACATTCCACTCGGTTGGTTGGCAGTTTTTGGTTTAACCTTTCCTTTCCTACTTCTCCTTTTTTTAACTTAAAATTTAATTGAGAATAAGTTTTTTTTTTTTCACATTTTGAGCTTAGAATTCTAATTGCAACTCTGTGATAACATTTAATATGTCATCTAACAGTTTTTAATGTTTTTACTGTAAACCTGGGTTTGCTGTAAACCATTAGTGATATCTAGAGACTTGATTAGATTTTAGGGTTTTTTTTAGGTTTTTCTTTTTGGCCAAAAACTTCGTAAGTGGCTTGTACTTCTTATTTCTTCCTATCAGGAGGCACACAAGGCTGGTTTCTTTTTCTTTTTCTTTCTTTTCTTTTTTTTTGGCGGGGGACAGAGTCTGGCTCTGTTGACCAGGCTGAGGTACAGTGGCACAAGCATGGCTCACTGCAGCCTTGACATCCTAGGTTCAAGGGATCCTCCCACCTCAGCCTCCTTGGCCTGACTAGCTGCCACTACACCTGGCTTATTTTTTAAATTTTTTGTAGAGACTGGGTTTTGCCATGTTACCCAGGCTGGTCTGGAACTCCTGAGCTCAAGCACTCTGCCTGCCTCGGCCTCCCAAAATGCTGGGATTACAGGTGTGAGCCACTGTGCCTGGCCTGGTTGTCTTTTATGTATTAAGACTCATTAGTGGGTTTGTATGTTATCAGCTGATTCATTCAACAGAAAGTTCCCCTGTCAGCTTTTCACCTGCTGATTTTAGCAGTTATTAATGATCACTCATTGCCTAAATCCATCATTCAGAGGGGTGGTAAAGCAGCGATATTCTACATCTATCATGCCTTCTACATTTATTAGCTGGAATTTGTCTAAAAAGGACTTTCCCATATCAACTCTTTAGTTACCCTTATGTACAGTTCATGTAGGAAAGAGGATGAATGCTTGAATCTTTTTATTTTCAGATGAGTTGGTTTAGCTTCCTCCAAATGTAACCAAGAGCCTTAAAGAGATTAAAACTCTTTAATGTGATTTGGCCTAGCCCAGTGCTAAATGTATCCTGGTACTTAATATTGTTTTGTAATTCTTCTGGTTGATTTTTTATTGATTGATTTCCAAAGAGAGGTGCCATTGGACCAGATCTTATAAAAATTACTTGGATAATTTAAGAGGTTCATCATTCTTTTGTGAGTGGGTTTGTGTACAAATATATGCATATATATTTCAAATATATCTTAAAACTTTTGTCTGTAAGACTTTACCTAATTCATACTGCCAGTTTCTATGCTTCCTTAAGATTTTGAGTGTATCTTGGATAAAAGAAAAAAACCTCTTCCATATGGAAGCCATAATACAGCATTGGGACAGCTACCAGAAATGCCCTGGGAATCAAATACTGAAACAGTTGGATCAAGGCTGCCACCAGGGGCTGAAAGGTAATTTGTCTCTTAGTTTTAGATTGTATTAATATCTAAATGTTAAATTTGGGGCACTATACTGAAGTCAATGATCAAAGATTGAAAGTAGTGGAATCTGTTCCTTGTATGTCATGCATTCCACCTTTGTAACTTTGCTTTTTCTGTCCCTTCTGCTTTAATGTTCTGCTTTCTTCTGTCCAAAGCCTAGCAATCTCCCTAATTAAAGTACTAAAAGAATTGTCCTCAACTAGAAGTAAAATAGTATCTTCTTTTGTGCTCCCATACCTCTCTACTTTTCTCATAGCACTTAGCCACTTCCTATACTGCATTACAGTAACTTAATATACATCATGTGTTCTCTGTTAGACTATAAGCTGTGTCACTTCATCTTTGTACCCCTCACAGTGGCTTATGTATAGTAGGCATGTGTAAATATATATTGGACAAAAAAAAAATGGATGAAAGCAGACAGATATTTACAATTATTTTGTGTAACTAAATAGGTTTGTCATTAATTACTAATTTCTTAGTAGGAACATAACTGGATATACTCATTTATATTCATTGGCTTTTGTTTATAAAGATGCAGTCTTGTTTCTGAAAAGCTTGTAATTATTCAGTTTCTTATTTTGATTTTAGAAGTAAATATTTTTTATCTTATGTAGGATTGCTTTGGAATTTTTGGATTCAAAATCATTTTGTAGAAATATCCCTCACATGAAAGGAAAATTTGCTATGAAAAAACGACATTTGGAAATTCTGGGGTATCGTGTAATTCAGGTATGAAATACTCATGTAATTCAGCCTCTAAAAAGCCCAGAGACACTAGCTGTACATGTGCTTCCTTTTCATGTGAAAGTTCCAGAATTACCTTTCTTTTTTTTTTTTTTTTTGAGACGGAGTCTTACTCTGTGGCCCAGGCTGGAGTGCAGTGGCCAGATCTCAGCTCACTGCAAGCTCCGCCTCCCGGGTTTACGCCATTCTCCTGCCTCAGCCTCCCGAGTAGCTGGGACTACAGGCACCCGCCACCTCGCCCGGCTAGTTGTTTGTATTTTTTTTAGTAGAGATGGCATTTCACCGTGTTAGCCAGGATGGTCTCGATCTCCTGACCTCGTGATCCGCCTGTTTCGGCCTCCCAAAGTGCTGGGACAGAATTACCTTTTTAAATATGTTTTTTAAAATGTATCCCTCAAACAGGCCAGGTGCAATAGCTCATCCTTGTGGCTACTTGGGTGGCTGAGGTGGGAGGATTGCTTGATCTTAGGAGATTGAGGCTGCAGTGAGCCGTGATTGTCCCACTGCACTCCAGCCTGGGTGACAGAGCAAGACCTTGTCTCATAAAAATAAATAAAAGTTGTCATTTATTTTATTGTCTTTAGAATATCTATATCTTATGATTTCTATATCTTATAAGAGAGGCACTGTAGAGATGGATAGAGTTATCAGAGGAAACAACTAGTGTATGAATATAGAAGACTATGTAGGAAAAAGTGTCCATCATTGGTATTGTAGGAAAAGGAGGATGAAAGGAGCAGAAAAAAGTCTTCTAGGCAATGTCAGAAGGACCCACTTGACTTCCAATAAGGGTTCACAGGCTATCCTTACATAAACTAATTTCATAGGATTCCTACAGCTTTGATCAGTAGTGGTTATATGTCTTCCTCAATGTTTCTTGTTGCTTTAAAACTTTCATTCAAACTACATTACTTATTTTATAGATTTCTCAGTTCGAATGGAACTCTATGGCACTGTCAACAAAGGATGCTCGAATGGACTACCTGAGAGAACGTATATTTGGAGAAGTCAAGTCATGACTGTAGTTTTTATTCAAAATGAATGTTACCATTTGTCACATCTGGACTTATTTTAATTAAGTGGCCTGTCTCAATAAAAAAAATAATAGGTACAAATGTCCTAAGGTGGGAACATACCTGGCATGTTTCAGAATAACAAAGGATCCAGTGTGGCTGGAGCAGAACAAGTGGGGAGTGAGATGGGAGTGTATAAGGGAAAAGGTAAGAGATAACAGAGTCAAATACAACCTCTTGGCTACTCTGAGTGAGATGAAAAGCCATTGGAGGGTTTCAAGCAAGGAATGATATGAACTCACATTTTAACTGCATTACTTTGGCTACCTTATTGAGATAAGACTACAATGAGGCATATGTGTAAGAAAGAAAACTCTCTATGAGGTCATTGCAATAATCCAGGCAAGAATGGATGGTGACTTGGAGAGCGTGGTAGCAGTGGAGGTAATGAGAAGTAGTCAGATTTTTTGGATATATTTTGAAGGTAAAGGCAACAGAATTTGCTCGCTGATTGGATATAAGGTATGAGAGAAATAGGAGTCAAGGATAAATCTAAGTTTTTGTCCTAAGCAACTCAGAGGATGTCATTAGCATTAACTAAGATGGGGGAGTCTACAGGAAGAGCAAGATGGGGGGCATGTGGTGAGGGTTGATCACAAGTTTGCTTTAGATATGTTGAGTTTGTGATGTCTTTTAAATGAGATTAGAGAAGAGTGTGAATGGAGGAGAGGTCTGAGGACTGAGTTTTCAGGTGCTCCAACATTAAAAGATTAAGAGGAAGAGGAGGAATTAGGAAAGGAGACTGAGCAGGGATGGCCAATGAGGTAGGAGGAAGGAAGGTAGTAATACTTCTAGAAGCCAAGTGGATAAAGCATTTCAAGGAGGAAGTGAGTAGTTGTATCAGATGCTGCTGAAAGGTCAGGAAAGATGAGAAATGGGAAATGGTTATTAAATTTAGCAATATGAAAATCATTCGTACTTTGAAAATAGTTGTTTTGAAGTGGCGCATGTGAAAGCCTGACTGGTTCAAGAGAAAATGAGAGGAGATACGTTTTCTCCTAAATGGAAGCAATGAAATGGGGTAGTAGCTGAGTGGACCAATCTTGACCTGGTGTAATCCTACACATGTTGAGGGAATAATGGCTTTTCCCTGTCTTACAACACATTGATTCAATAAAATGGTTACTAAGGGCCTACTATGTGATATAAATCCCCAACCCTTCTCTAAGAGTGATGTTTTGTGCTTAGCAGGCCACAGCCTAACTACCCTCACTTAGGCCACCTGGTAGTGGTGGAGGTAATTGACCATCTGAAAGGTGGCTATCTTCTGACTCCATGACCCTCTCAATTCACACTATCTCAAAATATGTTGGTAGCTGGAGCGCCTTCTATCATAAGCATAGCTTTAAAATATGTGTCTTGCATGTAATTTGCTTCACTGATATTTGGCTTAGGCTTAGTTGAAGTACATGTTTAAAATATCCAATGACTGCATGATTTGAACTCTAATACTGAATGATTTTGTGGAATATTAACTTCACAAAATGTTTTATGAAAAACAAAATCAGAATAGTAAGTGAAAGATGTCTCATTATCTCTTCCTCTTTCTGAATTTCCTCATACTCATATTAGTGGAAATGCTAAATTCAGAGTGTTTAATTTCCATGAAATGTGTTCTATTTTTCAAGCAAGTGATAACAAGAACTAAACCCTTGAATAGGTTAAAATATTTGACTATGCAATTTTAGAATAAAATGATTAGGCTTATGAGGGTTATAAAGGGTTTCCTTTGGATATAAATAATTAAAAATTTAGTCATTATATACTTGAGGTACATGGAAATCTTGATTGAATAACCCTGGTATACTTTCACTAGTAGTTACACATGATCTAATTTTTTTACCTGTCACATCTCCTACTCTCTCTAGGCCAGCAGTCCCCAACCTTTTTGGCCTCAGGGACCATTTTTGCAGAAGACAGTTTTTCCACGGACAGCAGTTGGGGGATGGTATGGTTTCAGGATGAAACTGTTCCACCTCAGATCATCAGGCATTAGTTAGATTCTCATAAGGAGCATGCGACTTAGTTCCTTTGCATGTACAGTTCACAATAGGGTTCGTCCCTCTATGAGAATCTAACGTAGCTGCTGATCTGACAGGAGGTGGAGCTCAAGTGGTAATGCTCACTCGCCTGCCCACTGCTTGCCTCTTGCTATGTGGCCCATTTGGGGACCCTTGCTCTAGGCTATCTGATTCAAATGTTTTTTTTTTTTTTTTTTTTTTTTGAGACAGAGTCTTGCTGTGTGTCGCCCAGGCTGGAGTGCAGTGGCCGGATCTCAGCTCACTGCAAGCTCCGCCTCCCGGGTTTATGCCATTCTCCTGCCTCAGCCTCCCAAGTAGCTGGGACTACAGGCACCTGCCACCTCACCCGGCTAGTTTTTTGTATTTTTTAGTAGAGACGGGGTTTCACCGTGTTAGCCAGGATGGTCTCGATCTCCTGACCTCGTGATCCGCCCATCTCGGCCTCCCAAAGTGCTGGGATTACAGACTTGAGCCACCCCGCCCGGCTCAAATGGTTTTCTTTATATAGATACTCTTATATTTTTGACTGATGATTTTTCTATCTATATAACTTAGATTGTTATAAACAAAAGCATTTTTTCATTGAGATATAATTCCCATACTATAAAATTCACCCTTTAAAAGTGTATAATTCAGTGGTTTTTAGTATATTTGTACAACTATCACCCATATCTGATTCCAGAACATCATCATCCTCAAACCCTGCAAGAAGCATTATTTTAAAACTTAATTTTACACCTACATAGATTGGCATTCTGTCTCCAAAAGTAACCTCAATCCTGATTTTATAGTAAGTACTTCTTACAGTTTTATCACCCAGATGTACATTTCTGGACACCATAATCCCTGTGGCCCCCTCTTCCTCCACCTTTTTGAGTCTGTATAAGTGCCCCTTTCTCTTCCTAACAGTTTGTTTGTTGAAGAACCTGTAGGATTTTCCACTTCGGGAATTTCTTGATTCTGTATTCATGCTATAATTAAGAAAAGTATTTTTCAATATAGAAAAGTAATCAGGATTCTACTTTAAATAACCAAAATAAAACTTGTTTCTGTCAAATATATTTCCATATTTATGGTAGAGAAAAAAAAGGTGTACGGACACTTAGATCTGTTCTTTATGAAACTCTTTGACAAATAATCATGAATGTTCCAAATTAGTCCCAAGTCAGGTTTTTCAGAAAATAATATGGGTAAGGATAGAAGTCAAATACATGTCTATGAAAGCTATGTGAGACTCATAAGTTGGTGTGTAGCTAAAAGTGATGATTAATTGATGAACTTGCATAGATTGAATGTGATGGTTATGAGCAGACTGAGGAGTCAACTTACTATATGCACTAAGAAGAAACAGTGAATGGAGAATATCACATCCCAGAAAATGAAATAATACAGTCATCTTCCTTGCTATCAGAAATTTAGCAAATAGGTAGTCCTTTCACAGAGTGTAGCCAAAATTTAAACCAGTGAATATACATCCTCCTCCACATCACCCACTGACCCCAAGTTCTGCCCCAGCAGTTTAAAGAAAGAATCAATCCATTGTCTAAGGGTGCTCCCTCACCTTCTTGCCACAGATGCTGTAGTTAATGGCTTGAAGACTGTGATTTACTGGTTTTAAATTAAAAATTTTAAAATTTGATTTGGAAACCACAAATAATATGCCAGTGTCGCAAAAAGCATGGAGAAAAAAGACCGTTTGAATTTGACTATTTTTACTTACAAGAGACTTTTCCCCATCAAATAATTCCCCATCCATTTATTAAACTTCTGAAGTACCATTTCTGAAGTCGTCTTATGGCATGTAATTCTTAGTATAAGGCACAGGATTCCTGTCATTTTGAAGCACGAGGAAAGGTTTTTGATATTTTAAACATTTTTTGAATGTAGATGCACATATTCTCCACTTCCAATTGTAGTAGAAAATCAGTGTAAGGATACCCTAACAATGCAAATGAAATGATTAACAACTCTAATTTAGGAGCCTCCTTTACAATCCATTGAGTGCAACAGATTCACAAAATAATTTGTTCAACTGAATATTTAATTTCTTATTAGAAAATGGTTTTAATCTCTGATCATTACATTGAAGAGTCAATGACTGAGGTTTTGTTACCTACTGCTCATCTCTTAGACAATAACTTCCTGAATAATTTCTACATAAGTGTCTGTACAAGCTTTTAAAAAACAATAAATTAAAGCCCCATTCACCAAACAAACCACCTCCCAATCTATGTTTTGTCACCTTGTTCATAGTTTAGACAGTTTGAAGAGATTTAAACGTGTTGCTAGGCAACTAGCTCCTGAAGCATAGCGTATTTCCTTCAACATCCCAGCCCATTCTTTTTTATCATCTTCATACCTGATGGAGGAAAAAAAAGTAATCAACAAGCAGCTTTTAGTTCCATAGGTTTCCCTGTGTTCAGTATACAAATGTGGACCTTTGCAAAAACCTAGTGACTTTTACTCAGAGGAAGGAAGATGCACCTGCCTGGTAGAACAGCACTTGAATATCTCTGAAATACGCATTGGATGAGCATGTGTCTGAACTACTGCCACAGTATTTAATCTGGATGCCTAGGCAGTTCGGCCTTCTCTGGGAATCAAAGACTGCAGAGAAGAGGAATAAATAGCTAAGCAGTTAAATATCCACCTTTGAACTGATGAAGGTGGCTGGTCACTTTGAGTCAAAGTAAGCAGACTCTTGCTTAAGAGAAAGAACTGGGGAAGAGCAGGGACTATCTGTAGCCTTAATTATGCCTTCAATTGTTCCTATACACTAGTGCCTAGCATGGCACCTGATACACAGCAGTCACTTTATGAAAATTTGTTCACCTTCCCCTTTATTGTTCTGTTTGAGGACTACTCTTAGATTTTGCACTTGACTTAGGTAAGAACTGGTCTTCATCTCTGAATATTCAAGGTTATAAAGATACAGACAACTTGAATTCCCTTGTACCATGTGTGCCGAACATGTCTGCTCTGCCTGGTGCCTGGAATGTTTTGTGTGGGAAGCTTCTAAATGCTG